GCCACAGAATCCGAGGAGAAAAAAGCGTCGGCTCTTGCCAACGAGCAAGCTACGTACGAGTCTCGAAATCTTGATGCCGCTCAAGCCTCAGCAATGGCTATTGGTGGCCTTGCTGCATCCAGGGGCTCGGTGCGCGATTCGCAACTGTACAGACGTATTTTAGGGCAATCCCTGAAGCATGTCGGTCTATCCGAGACTGCGGGGGAATTCAACCTCTCCGCGCATGGCAAAAATGCAGCGCCGTATCTTGTACCTCCGCAAACGACGACCGGGGACCACCACGCAAGCTTCAAGGATTTCCGAGATTTATCTAGCGAGGAGAATGAAGATCTTGTGCGCCGAGTAACTGAGGTAGCAGCTACGGCGGCTACCGTTGCCGCCCGTGACGCAGCCCGGTCTCGGAAGCCGTCCGTTCAACTGGGTTCGCTCCGTCAAACGACAAAAGCTCCCGCTGATTTGGCAAAGTCGCATTTGGATGAAGGTGATGAAGTTGGCCTCGAAAATACTCACACCAGCGGTGGGCATGATGCGCCGAATTGGAGTAAAGCCAGGAGTTCGATAATCCTCCTGGTGACAACCATACTGTATGCGATCATTGCTGAAATCTTGGTCAACACGGTAGATGTGGTTTTAGAGAGTGTCGACGTGGACGAGAAGTTTCTAGGAATCACACTCTTCGCCCTGGTGCCCAATACGACTGAATTTCTGGTATGTGCAATGAACTCATCTTCCCTTACCGGCTGCTGGATTGCTTACGGCAGATCTCAACAGAACGCAATATCCTTCGCCATGAATGGAAACATAGCGCTTTCTATGGAGATCGGATCGGCCTATGCATTGCAAGTCTGCCTCTTGCAAATCCCCGCATTGGTGCTTTTTAGTGCCATCTATTCTCGCCTGATAGACCCATCGGAGCTACTCAGTCATACATTTAAGTACGTTTCTTCATACTTTCGAGCCAGCTTCAGTGTCCCATCTAACATCATGCAGCTTAATCTTCCCTCAATGGGACATGATCTCGGTCATCCTTTGTGTCTTCCTCCTCTCCTATGTTCACGGCGAAGGCAAGAGCAATTACTTCAAGGGCTCGATTCTCGTCCTTACGTATCTTGTCGTTGTCATCGGGTTTTATCTATCGGGCTACAGCAATATAGAAACAATGGGTGTTGATCGGTTTGACACGCTGGCTCTCGGTCTAAGCTCGTCGGAGAAGTTTTACACCATCGGTCGGGCATCGAGTGGCCAGGCCTTTGCGCCCCACTGAGAAACTCTTTTTCAACCTTCGCAAATTAGTTGTCGCGATGAATTGCCGAACTTTGGGAGTGTACTTTGTCGCTTGAGAGAAAGAAAATCGCATTTTACCAGTCTCTTGTCATATTTCTGGCTAGAACTGCTCATCAATTGGCATTATTTTGCCTTTCCTCTTCCCAGAAGCCTGACCATGGGTGTTATCAATGTTTATCGAAACACTCACCACCACGATTCGTCCCGCAAAATTGGAACCATCTCATTTGACGCCGCCTGCAATTGCTCAACAAGACAATCCCCCTGTGGAAGACTCCCCATCAGTAAGGGAAATACCTAAGGTTTCCATGAGCTCACGGTTCGATCGACGAGAACCCGGTACTCCTGTTGCTTGTAGCATTGTTCAAGAAAAACCTTGTATTTGACGTCGAGCAGTGCCTTCTCCCTCACATCGGTTGTTGGAACGACCTTTCTTCCTGGTTTGCTCATACGATCCATAATCTCCCAAAGGTCCTCAGTCTTGCCGTCCGGGTCAGCACTAGCAGCTTTGGCACCCAGCATCGCTGCTCCATGACACACGGCAGCATGGATATACCGAGGAATAAGTACCGGCATGTCGCACGCCGATGCTATTAGTCTAACCAAAATATCATTCTGGCACTGAGAACCAGACATGAAGATTGACGTAATCGTGTGGCCTGCTTTATTCATGGTTTCCACAATTTGTCTAGTTTGCAGTGCAATGAACTCGAGAGTAGCATAGTAGAACACTGCAAGACCATCGACAGATTTATCACTTGTCAAACCGACGACGGATCCCGCCATGGCAGCATCCGCGATAGGAGAACGGTTTCCCCATAAATCTCCATAGAAAAACAAATGCCGGCCTAGATAAGAAACGTTAGGGGCCTCCTGCTCGTGGGTCATCTCCTTCAGATGTTCGTTTAGGTATTCATATATATTAGCGTTGTAGGACTCGGCGATTGAGGCCGCCTGATTGAATGCTGGATGAGTTTCAATGACATGCTTGAGCAACTCGCCAGTCGCGGATTGGCCGCCCTCGGCCATCCAATATCCCGGCTGAATGGTATCGCGGTACGGCCCCCAAACACCAGGCACAAAGATGGGGTCCTGTGACATCGCAAGGTGGCACGTGGAAGTTCCAGCGACAGCGGCCAGGCGTGAGAAAGCCTGGGTCTTATCATTCTTCGAGACTTCGGAACTCAATTGCCCGGGCTCCAACTCTACTTTGGCGCCGACTGTACCGATCCAGCCTGCATACGCGTCAATGACACCGCTGCCAATTGCGATCCCTGACGGGAGGCCCAATTCGGATGCTGCCTTGTCACATAGAGTTCCCACTACCTCGCCAGCACTGAGATAATCGCCATTCTAGAGCAATGATCTGTTAGTCGGTCAGATATAAGCATATCGCAGTGATCCTACTGCTCCGGGTACAGTAGGCACGTCAAGAAAAATTGTCACAGAAGAAACAAGGCTCACCACCCCGTCAACACCGCCCATCCGCTTGAAGTTATCCTCGACTAGATCGCCCAAGCCGATTTCAGTCAAGAAGTCGTCTTGCCAGCCTTTTACACTTCCGTCCACACCGACAGGAACGTACCCCTGCTTGCAAACCACACTGCAGAAACTTCTTTTCTCGGTTCCTGTGGCGATATGGGTCAACGCATCTGCCAGGTCGTAGAATTTGCACTGATCGAAGAGCTCTTTCGGCATATTGTTCTTGAGCCATAGAACCTTGGGGATTTCCATCTCGATCGACATTTTGCCGCCCACGTAGCGAAGAAGATTGTGGTTCGTAGCATTGATTTTCTCGGTTTCCTCGATGGGACGATGATCCAGCCACAGAATTACATTACGGTCGGAGTCAAAGTTGGGGCTTGTGACTGAGATAGGCTCATCGGTTACGTTGGAAAATACGGACAATGAACAAGTCGCATCGAAACCGATGCCTCTCACAGTCTCGGGGTCAATATTATGCTGGCTAATAGCCCGTTGAACGGCCACACAGATACATCTCCAGATATCGTTGGTAGATTGTTCCTGAGCCATATTAGCCTATTCCTCAAGTGGGCACAGAGACCACGCAAGATGATTGCGGGGGGCGAACATAGTATCCCTGCTGAGGTTGCCAGAGCCCGATGTTCTCAGACGCCAGTCCAACAATGTCCCCTTTATCATCGATGATACATGCACGTGCACTCCCGGTTCCAACATCGATGCCAATATAATGGTCCAGGTGCACTTGGATTTCATCCCGTTTGTCTCTCGAGGCCTGCCTAGAGCTCTGGCGTGAGGTTCGACAGTATGGCAGGGAGCCCGGAGAAGCCATGACTGAGATGATTCCGGATTGGACCTGATATCTCTGATAAATTGACGGCGTAAGACTGAGCTTTTACATAAACATCGAAGTATAGAAACGTAGGTCTGATGTCGATTGCAGTGGCTTTCTCTACCGAGGGGCTCGAATTGTCTCAAAAATGATCGAGGGAAAGAGATAAAGTCGCAGCAGAAAAGTGAGAAGGATGAAGGAGAGAAGGGAGGTGAAGAGGAAGGGGGGGGGAGGGGTGGGTAAATGCGCTGTCCAGTATAGGTATAGACAGTACAAGGGTACATACAATACTACGTTGTATTATCTTACTGATTTGGAGGGTAAGTTATGACTTCGTACGGCCTACGATGATTTCTCTGCCAGCTAGACTAAGCGTGGAGGAGGAAGGGGAGCTGCTGCAGCACTGCAGCAGTATGGTAGCAGCAACAGCCATGGGAGTGGGGTTGGGCGGGGATAAATGGCGGGATAAAGGGCAGGATAAAGGACAGGGACTGGGGTTATTGGAATTCAAGGTCATTAGGTAAAGGTTCATGGTCAGTGGATGGTTCCATGTGGATTGGAAAAATGCCAGTCTATCTACGGAGGTGTGTCCCAAAAGTTATTGAACTGCGCTAATTGTCTCGATGTAAACTGGTTGTAATAATATCTTATGTAATATAAGTATGGCCTAAAGAAGTAAATTATAAAGCTAGATATAGTAAATATTGCTCTAAAAGATGTTACTTGTAAGATTGAATATAGTAACTACTACTAGATTAAGTCTAGTCTAGAATATACTAAGAAGTTTTTACTTGTTTAAGTATTAGTACTGCGAAGCTATTCCACAACTTACTAGATATAATAGATATCACATTAACAAGTCAATACATATATTTCAGCTAAGAAGATTAGTGCGGTTCAATAACTTCTGGGACACACCTCCGTAGGCAACTTTGAACCTCTGTCTTAATCACTTGTAGTAGGCTCGTTCCGATACTTAGGAGGTTTGATACCTAAATCTAGACGTGTGCAAAACTGTACTGTACCATCTACCGACTGTACCATGGAATACTGTACATCTGTACTATATATTACATACTGTATGTATTATATGAATACACCATCGCTCACACTCTTCCAACCAATTCTTCCCCGAGCTTGTAACATTCCGAATATTACCTTACATCTTACAGCGTCGCAGTATGACCTCAGCTGTATTGATAACTAAGTTACTGTACCCAGGAATGTTAACTACATAACTTATTGCTGGCGCTGTAACTGAATTAATCCCACCTAGCAAGCTGCTCCCTTTCACCAACATCTTTCTTCCTCACTGTTACCCCGTCATTGGAGCTATTTACTTACTTCCGTCTTTCTCCTCCTCCTCCTCCTTCTATCTCCTATAAGTGCATCTTTGCTCATCATGTGGCCGTTTTTGTCTCCTATGCTTCTATCACTATTATGCTTTTTTCTATCCTCAAGCGTCGTCAATTCCTCGCCAGCCCCCCAGCCATCATCTGTTGATGTCTTCTACTGGCCCGTCGCAGCTTCTGAACCTTCTTTACTGGCTCAGATTTCATATAACTCGACTTCTATGAACTCAGAGTTGGTCACCTATTCGCCTCCGACTCTTGCTCACGCACAACAGTCGTCGGACTTGGTTCGCATCGGTTTTTTCGCAATCAACACTTCAGGCTCCAAGCACTGGGTCGGGACTGCTACTTCCTGGTCGTCGTTCTTTGGAGATGAGGACAACCGCCCTGTCCTTCGACTTTACGTCGATTCGCCTTCTGAGGACGAATTGTATCACGTTGCTCTAGTATCCTCTACTACATTCGCTGATATCTCGACTCTGGTCAGCCCTCGAGTGGAGCTAGTATCGAACGAGGCTGGCCCGCGTCCGCACCTAAATCAACCTGTCATTATCGGCCCGGACGGAAAGAACGCAGACGAAGTTGTCGAGAAGACATTTTTCCAGAAGTGGGTCAAGCTCTTTCCGATGTCTTCTGCGCCTTATGTGAACTGACTTGCATCACTCAGGTACTGGTGGATTTTCCTCATCGTCACATTTCTCGCCATGTCTGGTGGAGGGGAGGCGCAGTAGTCCCCCGGGCGTCGACGCTCATTTGTAACATTTGGAATAGCCACCTACCCGCTTCAGACGCATCGTGAATCACCCTCACTCCTCAGCTGTCGGAAAACCGCATCCGTAGGACGTCGTGTGCCTTACCCATCATATATCCATCACCGCCATGCGCCCCCTCGTCCTCTCCCAACGCGGATGCGCGTCGCAGGCTCTAGTCCATCCTAGCTAGGTTGAGAGTAGGATGACTGTGGGCCATACCAGATGTTCCGTAGTTTGTCGTCTGCAGCTCCCGAGCGCGAGCATCGAGCTCGTTGGCTGGGCTGGGCTAGATCCCTGATCGACTGAGAATCTCAGACAACGTTACCAATGGGGTCACAGAGTCTAAAGACCAAGATGACAGATTGCAAGCTATGTAGCCCAGATTACTCCTCCAGTCAATGCTAGCATCAGCCAAGATTTGGCGTCTACGAGCCTGCACAAGATGGTCTTGGCAAGCTTGGTTTCCCATTTCTCCATTCACAGCAACTGGAACACTCTGGAGTCCGTGAGTCTCACTTTGCTAGAGTTGGAAACGATACTCATGTACATACAAAATAGCTCTACTTACAGAGGCTTAGCGGGCAGAGAGTGGGCGATAGGTGTTGCCTGACACAAGAACCTGAGGCCGTCTCGCATCAAATACTGGACAGATGTTCCATCAATAGCTGTTTGTTTGTCTTTGCTTGCACTGGAATGTCAGTGAAGATGCTGCTCTCAGAATTTGACTAGTATTGGAAATACTGAATCAGTCGTCGCCCTCCTCCCCGCGGGCCTAAATCCCAGCACATGACGCCCCTATCTGTGATTGCTATCAATCCATTTTCTTCCTCAGAGAAATGCAATTGGAAGCAGACGGCTTCAAGCGACAATACTATTGGTCGTAATTCGATCATGCCGGAATCTTGTGCTTGTGATGCAAGAGGGTAGAACCCATTGGAGTTCTCTTCAATTAGCGCTCTCGGCTCAAGAGCCCAAACATAGACTGTTTTCCAGTTGGCGACTGCGAGCCTTGTCCCTTGCCTTGAAGCAGCAACTATGCAACCAAGGGAATTGGTCGAATGCTGGAATCCCCAGAGGCGTGCAACGACGCTCCAATCAGGCAATCGCCGTCCACGCTCAAGTTGCAAGACATGCTGACAATTCTGTGCGCGACAGAATGTTTCGGATGTCAACAAGCACGCGACGGTCCATTTTTCTTCGCGATGGGTTGCTAGGCCGAAAGCCAGGTATTTCCATTGACATCGAGCGAATCCGTCTAGGACCTGAGTTTCATGGGTCCCAAAGAAAGGAACCTCGATTGAGAAAAGAAGGCTAAGGGAGTCTGTGAACTGTACAGGGCAGGAGTTTTCATACAATGTGGGCTGTATGGGAAAGGACGACATGTCAATCCTCTGGAAAGAGCCGTATAACGTCTGAGCGCGATAGTAGTAGAGTAACTGGCTAGACTTGTCGTTAAAACGAAGACCTACTACAGAGCTGCTATCGTAAGGGTAAAGACCGCGAGCGAGTCTGCCTTGTAAGCCCCGATGGCCATCAAACCACTGCCTTTTGCTGTTGTGGAGAACGCAAGAATTATAGCTAGTTTCTAGGTTATGTCAGCACCGGCAGCCTTGGCTGCAATGACACAGAGAGGCCTACCGATTACCCCCGGCCTCATATCGCAGTTGGATTCTGAGGAACAGATATATAAAGTTACCTCGAGGTCACTGATGTCCTGGGCATGCTGCCAGGAGATTGCGAAAATGCCTCCGCGCGCGGCCGCCAGAGCCAAAGGCTCGTAGTCTGCATGATCAGGGAAAGCACAAATGCGAACAGGGCCGTGGGGAGATTCTATTGAATATCGAGAGAGATAGACGGTCGTATCGGTCCCAAGCTGCATGGCGTGCCTGACGAACGGATGCCTCGCATAATCGTCGCTGTCGTTCAGTGAAGGCCTAAAGCGATGAAGTATGTATAATGTATCATCACCGTCAAATGCAGTTTTCAGAATTTCAACAGCACCTGGCCGACACCACTGAAGCTCCAAGCGAGCTTGGGGTCGGAGCCCACCACCTATAACCTGGAAAAGATGGATGCAATCTTGTTCTCGAAAAACAAGTGCGAGCGTCAGGATCTCCCTACGTACCACTATAGACGCCTTCACGTCAAGGGAGCTAATCCAGGGCTTGAAAGTGACACAGTCCGCATGAAACTGTGCACCATAAAGTTGCTGTGATGCTTGTCTCAAAAGCAGTTGAAATAGCTCTTTCGCATGCATAGAACGGAGGTCTGCGGGTAGAGCTCCCGGAGTTCGTTGTAGGTGGTGCACAAGGACCTCTCGACAATGAGTCGCAATTTCATACATGGTTCGACATGACATTGCCGCCTGTAGGAAAGTTGGGGTAGAACAGGATCGAAGAACCCATTGTATGAGCTCCGTAGGAAGGTTCAGAAGCATGGCCACCAAAGGTCGAAGCGTTTGGCTTGAGGGAGGGGAAGGCAAGTAGTAAGCAGGCAAGCACTCAAGCTTCTGTCCTACCTACTCGTGAGTAGCGGCTGAATGGACGTATCGAAGGAATTAAGCTCCTTGAAAAGGAGAGGATTGATTAATCCCTATGATTAATCACGGCTGGCGGGTCTGCCTGTCTCCCATAAGGCACCAGAGTCACTTGCTGCCTGGAAGGTATAACAAGAGAAACCCCGCCACAACACAGCCAAAATATGTTACTCCCTGGGACTATCTCGGAGGCAGAAATCGCGGCTCTCTGCTAGGCAGAAACCTCGGTTCAAGATTTTAAGACTCATATTTAAGATTTTAGCCGGTATGGAACTCAGATGCGGAAGCACTAAGACAGATCTGCCCTTTAACCAAGGGGAAACGCCTATATATATCGCAGGTGGCACTTAGACTAAATGCCGATACAGTGTGAATATCAGATATATCCTTAATAGAACATTACTTCACTTGCAAGATCTTGGTTCCATCAACAAGATAGTGAGGGAAATTACCATGCGTCAATAAGTTTTGATCTCAAATGATATCCTGTGTATATCTATAATATTAATTTGATTCCCGAGCCACAGCTTATAAACTATCATCATAATAACTAGACCTAAATAAAAAATCAACACCCGAAAATGCTTTCATCAACACATATTGACACGACGACCAAGGTCTAGAATTAAAGCGATTAAGGCATCCCACAAGGTATAATAAGCATCCACGCCAACATGATTTCAAGAGAACCCCTTGTGATTGCATCATCCAGTGATGACCAAGAGATACTAAATATTACCTAATCATACTCTATTCCCCTATGTGTGATACAGCCCATTCCAGCACGCTTTCATAGCACAGAACAAATTGCGAAAGGTTCTGAACCATGCTGGGTCTTTGTCTGCGGAAGTCGTCCACAGTCTTCTCAATGAGGTCGAGACCCTCATCGAGATCCCATTGTTTCTCAGTGAGCCTTGAATTCAAACCATCCACTGTGCCTTGACTCCTTCGCCGCTTCAGTATGTCCAGGACAGTGTCAACCGTACAGAAAGCGCCGGTACGTCCACACCCAGCACTACAGTGTACCAAGACCGGCCGCTGATCCACTGCGTGTCTCTGGAACGTAACGGGAACAGGACTATTCGTTGTAGTGAGAACCCGATCACAATATTCGATAAGTCTGAGGAGGTGTGTAGGCTGCGAGGTTGTTCCAAAGTCAGGCCAGTGTGGGTACTGCAATTGAGTGACTTCTCGCAATGGCTGAAATGGGTATGCTGAATGTGACAAGCCAAAGTGCCTGACAACGATATATGGGTTACCTGGGTCGTCTTTCACGTCGGGGGGTAACTGGCTGCCTTCCAACTCAATATGTGGTGCATCTCGAGAATTTAAGTAGATCAACTTCTGCGAGAAATTGTTGACCTGGCATTGTCCATACTCTCCTGACTTCCAGTAGGGATGACATTTGACCTGACCCCTTTCGACTTCGGCAGTCAATGAAACAACAAGTCGCACATCCTGTTCCCATATCATTCGCCAAAAGTCCTAAAGACATAATGAGCAAAACTTCCAACCACACTCGCCACCGGGGACATGAGAAAGATGGAAGAGACTACATATCGCACTTACATCGAAGGTATCGGGAACTGGGGCCTGGGTGGCGATATAGCTTTTACCACTCTTTTCGGCCTTTAGATGGTTCCCATTCACATAGTCACAGCCACCAGGAGGGACATTCTGGAGTCTCACTCGAGTATGTTCAAAAGGATAGATGTCGTTATATCTATTCTTCGTTCCTTTCTCAATACCGGCAACGCGATACCTTTCTGGCGAGGAGTCAATCGCTGCGGACTCGTCGGATTTATTATAAGACAGCGCTCGTTTCATGCGTTCAAGCTCCCTCTTCTCAAGCTTCAAAAACCTCTCGGAGACTTTATGACCTTTGTCGGAGGCGTCCGATACATCGCGTAGCCAAGGTGGGAGTTGTTGTCTCTTGAGTTCTGTAAGATCAGAAGGGAGTTGTAGAGGTATCTGTCCAACACCATCAACGAGATCCATGTGTTGTCTGATGTTGGCGAAGAAAGGTATCGCCGCATGGGATGACTCGGGGAGAGCACATCCGCCTGCGACTGGAGCTGCCGAAGGGAGATCAATATGCATTCTGGGTGTTTTCTTTGTAGACGCTCCTGAAGCTGGAAGCTGCTGTTGCTTGGTCAAATGAGGGAAGCGAGATGAGAACATTTTGTAGCCCCCAAGTAGAATTCGGGCCTCCCCTCCCCACCCTTCACTGGTGAATTTCTTCAGCACATTAGCTAGCGACCCTGCATCTTTCATATCAGATGTAGCGGCATCAAACACGATTATGTATTGGGATTGCCGCCATCGCGCGAATTTTTTCTTATCATGATCAGCTGTGAAAGTATTCGCTAATTTCTGCGTGTCGAATGAAGGGCGCTTCAACAGTGTTGTCGGTATGCAAAGGTTGAGAGACCCCTCGATAGTCCCTTTCGCGAAATGAGCGTAGGGTCGAACATCTAGAAGCATAATATCACGATCAGATGATTCGAGAAGCGCTGCACATTCATCTAGGGAGATGGAACGCCCGTCCATAGAAGTCATCTGTCCTGAAGGTGCAACGGCACCTGTGACCACTAGGTCTCGGCTCCGTGGATTCCCGTGGCTCGTGGATTCTTTCAAGTGATTATTGAATGCCAGTCCACTTCTTGAAAGAGTCAGGTTGTTATCGAGGGTTATATTGTTTGCAAGGTGAATTCTTGGATAAGATATTGCAGAATGAGCATGTGGTACTGCTTCTCCAATGTTCCCAAAGTTGCCCGGACTGTCCACATTAATTGAGAAACGATCAGGTCCCGAACGTTCTAAGACTGTACTCGAGGGACCAAGTCCGGGAGGTCCATGAGATGAAGGGTTAGTATCACAAAAAGAGAAAAATGATGTTGAGTTTGCAGGGTGGTCAAGCTGCAAATTCTGGCACTCTGACGGCCAAGGAGATGTAGGTGACCTTGAGCCTGTCATAGCCGACATGATTCTATGTCAAGACAGAGAGTGACAGTCTGCCTTTCTAGCCGGAAGGTCGAGGTTCGTGATCAGATATAAACCTGCTTTGCCATCGCGATATTAAATCTAGCCTGGTGAGCAGATTGACAGTCGAGTCTAGTCGAGGAGTGGTGTTGCCTACACCAGCCACCCAGACTTGCCAACTAGTTGCTCCACACCATATGACCCAGCAAGCAAATGTACACTTGACTGACGTTATTGTCTAGAGGTCTGGATACTTGAAGTACAGAGCCTGGCCCTTAACTGGCGAAGCAGCGGAGCGAATAAGATCGTTAAAGGCAGATGATGCCCACTGGGGTCCAGATGGGCTGGCTGCAAACTCTGGCAAACTCTGGAAGGAGGCGGTAATGTTACGGCTTCAGCTGAATATGAATTGAGAAGCCGACAAGCGGGTTGGTGAAGCAGCGATTAATTAGAAGCTTAAACGGAGGTAACGGAGATTTTCAAGCTGATATGTCTGCGAAAGGAAGACAAAGCCCATGGGGAGAAGTGGGCGAGAAGACCGGCAGAAGGTAAAGGTAGGTAGGTAGGTAATTTTGACTCCTCGCAATCGGGGAATACCAGGTCTCAGCCAAAGGGGAGGGAATTGCACGCCCGACTGCAGTTAAGTTCCTAGACCAATGGAAATATGAGCAAGGAAAAGTGGGGGAAGGGGAGGGGAGGTGGTCACTGTTGGCTGATATCACTGATCCACTGCCATTGTTCGAGCATGAAGGGGGGGAATCGGGGGTCAACAGCCGAGCGAATTGTGCGGAAGAGCGAATGGAGGGTAAAGGAAACGGAGGGAACGATGTTGTTCTCTGGGATATGACGTTATAGGGTGGGTGGCAGAGGGTCGGAAGACGGCACGTGTGCAGAAAGACTCAAAACCCATGCGGCGGCGGCGGGTCTGGATCTTCTTGATCTACCAGGAACTTAACTGAAGTGTGGCGATGCTGTCAAAATTCAGCATGCAGCATTTATTGTATGTGAAGCAGGAAAGGGAGAAAGATGTAAAGAGGGTGCAAACAGCCACCACTATCTTTGGTCCAACTTTACCTAAGACATATTTCGCGTTCATTGGATATAAGTTCAATTTCTTTACTACGTGGGCAAATAGAATTCAACAGGGGCTCAATGATCTGTACCACATCGTTTAGAATACTCGCTACACGCGGCTGTGGCTACGTACTGATAGCAGCTTGGGAAATGAAGAAAGAGACAGAAAAGTCAGAAAAAGGGAAGGAGGAACCCACAGGACCAAGCAGCTGTAGTCGACTATGTTAGAATGAAAATACGTTGAGTGCGCTATCAAAAATCGTAATGAAGTCCTTTGTGTAGCACTTCTCGACCATCTTCATTTAATGAAATGATCTCTCGCATCAGACTTGCGAGGCGAATTCTTAATTTTGCATGACAACACAATGTAGTCATGTTCATGAGCGCGTCGTCGCCACAGCCATACATACATAGTAAAGTAAAAGGAGACCTCTGCGACTGTATGGAGGATTTCAAGCTCAATTATAGGGCTGTTGGTCAACCCATTTATAAACAAAGATGGGGATGAATATAAGATTCCTGTCTCAACTGCGACACCTTGTTAAGCCTGTTCAATTCCTCGTCGTCGGAGTCTCAAGGTGGGGGATTCCTGGTGCCCACTAGCTTCGCCTCATTTAGGCCCTTCATTCTGACAAGGCACAGCCGAGTCGAGATGTCTATCAATATTGAAGGTGTTCTTGAGGTCCAGGTAATTGATGCTTCATTGCGGTCGGCTTTTGTGAAGCCGCATTTGCCACGGGTACTTTTTGGCACGTAATCGTTGAGCAAACGCATCGAGAGCAGGCAAGAAATGGTTGGCTGGCTTTTCAACAAGTATGAGATAGCCAAGAAAGTGCAAGGTTTACGTCCATTTTTGTGACGAAGTGGGTTTATGCTGACTGGGGGCTCGTTGTAGAATGGCTGAGTTCATGGGAATAACAAGGTGTTACCAAACATGTTGTGATTGCATTGAGATTCGTGACTTCTTCAAATCTGAGGTCAGTGCTTCAAAGCCTGCCATCAGGTTCACCTTTGAAGCGCTGCACACGTTTTTGTTCCCAGTCATCAAGGTCCTTCGCCATAAGCCTCTTGAATGCAAATCAGCAAGTCATGTACTTCTGCAGGTCTATGTGACAAGGAGATGATCACTAACGTAGTATTCTTCCCGTTCGTCTCCAATGATCCTTCTTCGCGGATTTCGTTTTATGCCTTCCTCGCCGTCCGGTCCCTTGAGACCCAGATTAAAGGCTTCCTCTTGGCTGAGTTGTTTTACTTTGCGATCATAACGTTCATATCTCAAAGCGGCAGCCGGTGTCAATGCGAAAGACCCTGCGACTATGATCATGATGAAGGGAAAGCCAAACAGTAGGAATGGATGTCGGGGAAGACGGGATCTATATGCCGCACCGACTCGCTCCCCTAGGGTTGATGAGGCGGTTGTCGCACGCCGGAATTTCTTGGCTTGGAAGACGGGCATTCTGATATTAATCTCAAGATTGACAAACTTTCGGTATCAATTGAGTCGTCAAGGTAGGAACGCGGAAACAAATTGGCCTCTGGATAATACATGGACGCTGCGGCAGCTGTAAGGCTACACACCGATTGCCGTACCGTTGACAGATTGTGGGAAGTAGTTATTGGGCGGCTAGAGGTTCCTCGGCGAAACGAAAATCCGCCATCTCCAACAAGCCTAGCTAGCAATCGCCAGCCAGAAGTCTGCTATAAACATCACGTTGTGAAAGGCAACGGAGCAGAGTGACCAAAGAGGAACAACTTCCCGCCAGAAGAAGAACGCTGGTATGTTGGCTCGAGTTCCGAGTGTAGCCAAAGTTCTGGGATTTAAAACTGATGGCCATTTTAGTATCGCGGATCTACTTCCTCCAAAGCCTTTTGCTCCTTCCCTCATAGATTTTACGACGGCAGCGAAGCTCTCTCGATGACATCCACGACCCGAGGCTCCTTATTTGGGGCCGCTGGCGTAGGGACCACAACACAGCCGGCAAATTCACTGCAGAACAGCCCAGCAAGTATGCTTGGGAACACGCCCGCAACACAAACGCCTTCAGGCGGATCCCTGTTTGCAAAGCAACCGCAGGCACAACCGCAACTTACCCACAGCTCTTTATTCGGACAAAATACAACACAGACTAGTGTAGCGCAAGCAGCGCAGTTGTCTAATCAGACGCAGCCCGCCTTCTTTAATAGCCTACTCGAGCGCGGCAAAAAGAGGCCTCTCTCCGCGATCGGTCTGAACAGCAATTTCGACGAGTTGCCTACATTGCAACTGGGCCTCGATGATATCCGCAAAAAGGCGCGAGAGCTTGGTACCAAAGAGTCCAACAATAGACAACAATATACAGCGAATAGCAGGGCGTAAGCTGTCTCTCCCCACCTTCTCCCCCACCTCTCATTGCATTTCAAATGACATACTCATGGCTCTCAGTCACTATATGCTGGCTGCCTCCGGGGTCTCTCCTGGTCACGCGCTACGGGACCTCAAAGCTCTAGATCCCCAGGCTTCTCTATCGGTGACTCCTAAAGAGCAGGAGACGTTCGATCCTGATAATCAAAAGTACCTAAGGAACCTACAGCAGCGTGGTCGTCAAGTCATGATAACGGAAAGCCTTGCCCGCACGCAAAGAGATTTTGACCTGTTTCTGGAAGAGAAACTCGACCTGAATTGGGAAGACCAGCGGCGAAAAATATTTCAACACTTCGGGTTGACACACAAAGACGACAATGCTAAGGATGGGAAAAGTACGTTTGGCCGTTCAGTCCAAAGGACACAGCAGTTCAATACTGCGTCTGGCCATGATCCTGCTTCGGCCTCGCGTCGGAGTGTCTTTGGGCGCTCCGGCTTGGATAAATCGGTCATTGGAATGCCGGGGACTGGAGCGGCAGGTCTTCAGATATTTGAAGATTCGATGGAGCGCAACGACGGTCCGGGTAGTCACTCTTCTGATCTTCGTTTTCTGAGGGAGAAGATAGGCTACTATGCAGAGAAAGTACAGCTGCTGAATTCGGCCAGACTCCAATCTCGGACATTTCCGATTCTATACAACTTCTCTGACGTTGAACAGCGCGCAGGTGGTGACGTAAGTTCGCGCGATCCAATTTTTAATCTATTGCTGACTTGCGTTAGGTTCCACGGCAAATGTATGATGGCTATAAAGCCTTAATCAGTATTGTTGGGGAGTCACCAGAAGCGATGAATATCTCGGCTCCTTCCGCATTGAGGGAGCGACAATTTTCTTCGGACTATTTGGATGAATTGCCAACCTCACGCAAAGCGAACAATCTCAAGAATCGTATAATCGAGGGCTCACGGTCATACCTCGAAAAGCAATTCTATATCGATGTGGAGGGTGCGATTGCGAAAAATCCCCGAGAAGCACAACTCGGTGGCATCCCAACCGTGGTCAACAAGATCAGGGCTTATATCAGGCTCAGGGCCGCAAGAAGAGACCTCGCCCCTGACGGAACCGAGTTGCAAATGGTCGGCGAGGATTATTGCTGGATTCTTATCTTCTATCTCCTTCGCTGTGGATTCGTCACGGAAGCAGCAGAGTACGTTAGCCAAGATCCAGGTTTCCGCTCCTTAGATCACAAATTTGTGACATATATGACAACCTATGCCCAGAACAGGCGGTTGCCGAGGGACCTGCAACAAAAAATCAACGGAGAGTATCAACAGCGGTCGCGAAATGCCCCCGATAACACTGTCGATCCTTATCGCATGGCATGCTACAAGATCATTGGGCGCTGCGAACTCACTCATAGACGCTTAGACGGCATCAACCAACAAGTGGAGGACTGGATGTGGCTGCAATTTACCCTGGCCAGAGAAGATGATCGTGCGGAGGAGATTGCAGGTGATGTATTCGGGCTTGAAGACATCCAGACCGATATCGCAGAGATTGGCCAGAAGCTCTTTAGCAAAGGTCAAGACGGCCAGGGTGGCTACGGAACCTTTTTCCTCTTGCAGATTTTAGGAGGCATGTTTGAGCAAGCTATCTCATATCTTGTGTCTTATGCTCCGGTTAGTGCAGTACACTTTGCCATTGCTTTGGCATACTATGGCCTACTCCGCGTGTCCGATTTTTATACATCGGGCGAAGGACTGCGTAAGTGGCAAACTTTGGAGTGTTTTACCTTGCTGGCTCCTTTATTAACGAAGATAGTGTCCTACACTGTCAAACAATACCCACAGATTAATTTCGCCCTTCTCATCACGCATTACACGAAGCAGTTCCGCACAGCATATGTCGAGGCAGCGATCGATTACTTCTCTTTACTGTGCCTCAATGCCGACTTGCCCGGTTCCTTGGGTAAATCTCAAGCAGCTGTGTGTCACGAGGCTTTGCGAGAATACATTCTGGAAACCAGAGATTTCGCTAAGCTGTTGGGTGATGTACGTTGTGACGGAAGTAGGATCAAAGGTTTGATCGAACAGCGAATCAGCTTGATCCAACTTGTCGACCAAGAAGAGTTCCTGAAGACAATAACGGTACAAGCAGCGGCTATTGCTGACGACAAAGGGCTGACCACTGATGCGGTTCTCTTATACCACCTTGCCGAAGACTACGACCGCGTCATCGATATCATAAACCGAGCTCTTTCCGATGCTGTCGCCATAGATCTAGGAGGGCCAATGCTGAAGCTGCAACCTTTGAGACCCCGGGCTAATTTGCATAGTGATAGTCATGGTTCAACCCAGGGATCTCCGCTCGAACCCGGGAGTAGTCTCAGCCTTACTGCTGTGGAAGATCCGGTTGTTTTAGCTAAAAACATGATCGGTCTATACAACGCCAATGCCCTGTACTACCAACGGATCCGACAAGTCAATCGTGACTCCTGCGGGTTGTTACTTCGGATGATGGAGGCGAAGGCAGAAGTTGAAGCAGGAAATTGGACTCCTGCCCTTGATGTAGGTTTCCTCCATACTATCAGCCCTTATTTATCAGCTCTCATAGTCGTTGTTGCGCTGACACTAACAATTCGTAGGCTATCAATGACCTTAACCTGCTTCCGCTACGGGCAAGAGGCTCTGTTCCCTACGTACGAAGTGCTGCTCAAGCTTTTTCGTCGTTCCCTGCCATAATCTCCCACAATATCGGTCATATCATTATGTGGAGCATCACTTGCATCGGCCACGAACGTGACCGTCTTGGCTCTAGTGCATACGAGAATGAGATCAGACAGGGGTTAGCTGAGGAGCTGCTTGTCATGGCTAAAGACTTGATGGTATTCTCCGGAATGGTCAAATACAAGCTCCCGCCTAAAGTGTACGAAACACTTGCGCGCGCTGGGGCTGAGATTGGAGCATATTAAGAAGTGCCCCCTCTGCCCATGGAATTTGGGATGCACACTTCATGTTCATTTGCACTTTGTTCCTAGGCTTTTGCCGACTTAGAACACCTCGTAGTTTTCAGATAAGATTAGAGATCCTGAAGATACACATTGGCCTCTTATATTGTTTGGCCAGCGTGAGGTACGCATGTTTGTTTTTCCTAGTACGTACAAACTTCATTAGCCACAGAGTAAGCCATGCGCCGGTGCTTTCCCGCAACTAAAGCTCAGACGCCAAGACCTAGACCCGCCTCGATCATTCAAACCCGCTCACTCGCAGCAACCAGCCTACTACTAAACTCTCAGTTGGATCCCAGATACTCGAAAGTGAATGAACACCAGAGAGAGGACTGGCATAATGTCGCATCAGCCTTCATCTTGCACCCAACACTAAGTGATTCGCAATTCCATCATGGATATATGCTGCATCGCGCAACCTAAGAACATTGCCCTGTGCATACACCCTTCTTCACGAAACCTTTAAGACGAGGAGAGTCCAGTGCCCGACATGGGACATGACCATGATGACGCCTCTGACACGACTACGAAGTCTACACTATCCAGCCTCGAGGATGAGCCGTTGAGTAATGAAGTTTCGGCTCCAGCGGAATATCAAGGGGGAGGGGCCTCAATCGCGAATATGGTTACATCTTGTGAAGAAGATGACCACGGTGGTCAGGAAGTCGGCAACGTGTCAGATAACCTGATTCTTGGAAGTCAAGCTGCGCCTGAAGCTGTTAGTGCTAGAGAAAATGGGACCGCTTCGAGCCCCGACGCCCCCGCGTTGCAGAGCAGCACGATTTTCCCATTAAGAGAGATGAGCACCAATTCTGGCGACACACCCACGTCGCAAAATTCGGGCTTGCCCAAATGTGACTGTCTTATCAACAACCCCCCCAACATTTCCAGGATTCGACGAGTAATGTTCGAATGCAAGGACCCTATAGAGATAAGTCTTGAGGAGTTTGAGACTTACTGGCCGTTCATTGATAACGTGTGGGTAAAACAAAGGTCTAATTCCAGCAAAGAGGGACACTGTACTACGGACTATTATATGTGTCGATTGCGACGTCCAACTCATCGCACATCAGAGACACGGCCTCTGCCCGAAGGAAAACGGCCCCGAAAGAAAAGGGTGCGAGAGGGTGGCATTTGCAATTTCCAGATCAAAGTAGTGAAGTTTGAAGGGGCCTATTCAACTGTGACCATCGCGAGGACTCCGGGAAGTAGCCGTGTGCACTCGCATGACCTCGATTATATCGACAAGGTGAAGCGAAATTCGGGGCTCATGGAGTTTGCACGAAGGGAAGCAGTGAAGGGATATTTACCATCTTCCATCTATACCAAGTTCAAAGAAGCACCTGCGAAGCTTGAGGAGGCAGGTGGCAAATTCCTCACGGTGACAGATGTGCGCAATGTTTCAGCAAAGTGGAGAATCCAGAACCCCGAGGTGAAACTTGTACCGCATGATGGCTATGAATACCAAAAAGGCCATGGAATCGTGAGAAAAGGGGGAAGTGAAAGCAACGGCGGCAGTCCGGTTCTATCGAGTACGACCCCGAAGTCGTCGTTACCACCAGACACTCTTTCGTTTCCTCAGTTCTCCTTGGAGTTCCTCGGACCCTATCTCCCAAAGCACGATGAGCGGCGCCCATTTCCTCATGTCACCCTATCTTACGCATCTTCCATGGACTCTAAAATCTCACTTCTTCCAGGCATGCAGACAGTGCTCTCGGGACCCGAAGCTAAGCTTATGACGCACTACCTGCGATCTCGTCACGATGCTATCTTGATTGGAGTTGGGACGGTCCTTGCTGACAACCCGGGCTTGAACTGTAGATTGGAAGGGGCAGGAGGCTACGGCGGCCTGGGGAGAATGTGGCAACCGCGACCCGTGGTGATTGATCCCACCGGTAGATGGCCCATTCATCCCGAGTGCCGCATGCTGAGGACTGCAGTGAATGGTAAAGGCAAAGCGCCATGGGTTGTGGTATCGCCGGGAGCCCGCATTCACCCCCAAAAACTGGTGATGCTCAAAGGCTATGGGGGCGACTTTCTTCGAATCATGGAATACAATCAGGATTGGCGCCTTCGCTGGGAAGCCATTCTGCGCGCTTTGGCATCCGAGGGTATCAAGAGCGTCATGATTGAGGGCGGAGGAACTGTCTTGAGTGAGCTGTTAAATCCCGAGTATGCCGATTTTATTGATTCCATAGTTGTGACTGTCGCTCCCACTTATCTTGGCTCTAGTGGAGTGAGCGTGAGTCCAGACTCTAAGCGCGACGGAGAAGGAAAGCCGAACGCGGCATTAAATCCCAAGGATGTGAGATGGACACCATTGGGTCAAAACGTTATTATGTGCGGCAGAATCCGCACAGAGAATCCCCTCACTTCTCGCATTCAGGGATAAAAAGGCTCTTTTACCCCCTGCTTATTCTCTCTTTATTTCCCTCTATGCCCCTTTCCTCTGCCACTCCCTGGTCCTTCCTTGTTGACACAGTACTACATCCCTTTGCACGGTATATATAAAGTCAATGTTAATGTTCATGAATAGAATAGATCATCTAAATCCAAACCTTGAGCCTATAATAATAGTAATAATAGTAGTGATAATGATAATACGATAGCTATCAATAACATCTCGCAAGCGCATTAGAGGTAGGGGCCACATGCATATGCAGATGTTTGAGTGAGAGCCACGCTAGTTATCTTTGAGCCCTGATCATAATGAAAAGACGCATATTTGGCACATGACCGTTAAGAAGAGCGTAAACAAAGACGCTGCTGTCAGAACCGTCATTTCTCACACACAATGAAGTGACAGAAGTTGCTGGAACGACTTTGTGATTCACTTGACCGACATTCGCATATCGCTGACATGCCTTGTGGATGGGAGACTACAGAAAGTAGGAAACTTGAAGTATGGTTGACTTGCTCTTTCAAGCTTTCTTGGTTTGCTCACCAGTCATATGTTGCTTATGTACAGTGCTTTGGGCACCCTGCTTGCTAACGTAGACTAGTCCGACTTAGGTTGTCGTCGTCGTCGTCGTCGTCGTTGTTAGTGTACCAGTAACTACAATGGGCTGTTGTTTCCTTCAGCTAAAAACAGTAACAACAACAACAGTCACGGGTGGAATACCCCAGGTTCTAAACCCGCTCCCAGCTCTTCAACAGAAAACCATTTCAATTGAAAGCGTGTTGTCTGTGATATTGTCCCAAGATACTCTATAGCACTAGCTTATCTTTCATTCGATCTAATCGTTTCCATCCGACTCTCTGTACTACTTGGTATAAACATCTCTCTCCCTCCCTCTTTTGTATAGCCTTTTCCATACTGGGTTTTATGAACCAGCTCGTGCCGCGTTTTCTTAATGATGCCCTCAAAGAAAAGTGCATCTAAGTTTGCTGGCAAAGGCAAGAAAATGAAGGCAGCGAATACTGCAGCTGCTATGACGGCCATCAAGGCGAAACGAACAGCAATGAGCACAGCTCCAAGTACCGCAAACAACTCTGTTAATACTGATGACGCAGCCAGGGCTCCAAGGGAGACCAAGGTTAGCAAATCCAGTGGACGTTCTAGCCAAGGAACGACCAGAGCCGTATCCGCGAAGGCTGGAAAGCGAAAAGCTGATATCGACGAAGAAAAACCGACCCGCGAACCGAAGAAGGCGCGTGTAGCCCGACCTCGGGTGCCGAAGCCAAAACCAAAGATCATCATCAATAGTGCTCCCACCACCCGTCTAAATGTGTATGTTTGTGGCGAAGGCAGCTCTGGTGAACTCGGTCTTGGAGCGGGGAAAACCGCCATCGATGTAAAGAGGCCTCGTCTCAATCCGCATTTGCCAGCAGACCGGGTCGGCGTTGTACAAGTCGCAGTTGGCGGCATGCATTGCGTGGCACTTACGCACGACAACAAAATCCTGACATGGGGTGTCAATGATCAGGGAGCGCTTGGGAGGGATACCACCTGGGAGGACGGCTACAAGGATGTGGACGAGACTAAAAGCAACTCGGATTCAGACTCTGACAATGACACTGGCCTCAACCCGCACGAGTCGACTCCTACTGCTATTCCTTCTGACGCTTTCCCAGAGGGTACTACTTTTGTGGAAGTCGCAGCTGGCGATAGCTCTAGTTTTGCTCTTACAGACGAAGGTCAGGTCTATGGTTGGGGAACTTTTAGGGTATGTTAGCTCACGCGCCAACTGCTCAGATTAAGCTGACATTGTCAAGAGCAACGACGGGATTCTAGGCTTTGACCCCAATAACAAAGTCCAAGCTACTCCCACGCATATCCCCTCATTAAAAAAGATCAGGCACATGGTCTGTGGTGATAATCACGTTCTCGCTCTAAACGAGAAGGGCGCCGTATTCTCGTGGGGTTCCGGCCAGCAGAACCAGCTAGGCCGCCGTATCATTGAGCGGAATAGGCTAAATGGGCTTCAGCCACGCGAGTTTGGTCTACCTAAAAACATCGTGCACATTGCTTGTGGCGCTTTCCACTCCTTCGCCGTCCACCAATCTGGCAAAGTCTATGCTTGGGGTCTGAACAGTTTTGGTGAAACTGGTATCAGAGCCGGTGCTGGGGACGACGATGCTGCTATTGTCCACCCTACCATTGTCGATTCGCTGTCAAACCAAGGTGTCACTCAACTTTGCGGTGGTGCTCATCACTCACTCGCCGTCACTAGGAGCGGTCAGTGCCTCGTTTGGGGACGATTGGACGGTTACCAAACGGGGCTGAGGATTGACACGCTCTTGGATGAAGCGGTTATCAAGGATGAGCGTGGGCGCCCGCGCATCCTCATAGTACCGACTCCTGTGCCTGGAATTAAGGCCAATGCCGTGGCTGCGGGTTCAGATCACTCAATAGCCATTGATAGCGATGGACATCCTTGGTCGTGGGGGTTTTCCGCTACTTATCAAACTGGCCAAGGGACACAGGATGACATTGAGGTAGCAACAGTTGTCGAAAACACTGCTATCCGGGGAAAGAGGCTGACCTGGGCGGGCGCGGGGGGCCAATTCTCTGTATTCACCGAACCTGTGATGTTATTATCAGCTTTGAATTCGCAGGGCCTTCCACAAGAGCTGTAGTTTGGTTCGAGTCCGGCAGTGCTCATATCAGCCTGACTTTGTACACTTGCAATCTTCTGGCTGTCACATATTATACGGCTGCGTTCAATACACGAGATCTCTACGCACGGTATGTAAATCGACTCTTCCCTTTCTCATTTGGATTTGTGCTCAAGAGCATCGTCATCTGTATCAAACACAAGTCCTTGGTTGAGATTAACGCCTATGCGTCTCGAATCTCGGTGATATCTAAATGTCCGACTTCGGGTGCCAATAAGCAGGCAGAACAGAGACCTAGGCGCCATGGTTTCCATCTTCAAATTCTCGTAGAAGGATATCCAACTCGTCATCTTCAGGGGTATCATCCGCTACGCAACTTTCTGGTATCTGTTTGTTTGACTCTGGAGTTGGCGCATGTAGTTGTGCCAGGTCGAACATTATGTCCCCGCGTCTAGAGCCAGAAATCGTTCCGCCTAATGCTGTATCGGATGTTTCTACCGTAGTCGCAGGGTCCATGTCTGCACTAAGACCATCGAGGACTTGCTGGTTTATATCAGCCGTCAGCGCTTTCGGCTTCTCTTCATCAATCCACTCCCTTCTCATCGTCTGCAAGCGCTTAGAGTGTCCAAGTTTTTCGATCATGGCCAGACCATCAGCGAATTTGGCACGAGGATATAAATCGTCAAGCCATAATTGGTAGAAGTTCAAAAGCCGGGCGACGTCAGAAAACTGTTCCATGAAATTAGCAGTCGGAGAGAAGTGATGCCGATGTTGGTGGTCATAGACCTCGTGCCCTTTGCCCTTCAGTCTCAGCCTCTGCCTGGACGTGCGGCGTAGCTTTGGTATCCCGGATTGCGAGAGCAATCTAGGCGATGCATAAGTAAGCATTTCGGGCTCTAATGAAGTGTGATCACTGGCCTTACCTGCTCTCATCTAGTTTCGCAACAAATCGCCGGTGCTTGCTAACCTGGACCTTATCGTCCACCCCTAGAATAGGCGTTGGGTCCTCGTTATTAGACCTTACAGTGATGTTCGTTTGAGGCTGTTGCCATGCCGCATCAAGGCCGGCGTCATAGTCAAACAAGGAACCGTCATGGCTTGTTAGTGCATCAAGTGGTTCTGTTGTAGTTTCCATATTCCAGGCGCTCCTCAACTCTGGAGATGACGAAAGAAAAACAACACACTGAGGTCGTAGAGTGGCAAGTCAGAAAAGAAAAGCGGCGAAGTTTAGGTGGGCAGGACTAGGTTATCTTGATCGAAATATCGAGTAAGTTGTTGTTTTCCTGCTATTTAGTATAAGCGATTTTTTACGCGGCGACGCGATCTGCAAGCTCGGGACGCGTATGTGACCAATGAGGCAAGTAAGTTGCTGGGCGATTTACTCATTGCAGACTGATAAATGAATATTATCAACACTGTATCGGCAATGTAATTGAAATACAAGTCCTGTGGTGATTGTAATCTTATATTGGGAACTATTGGACATTTAAAAATACTACTATTAGGATTCTTGTTTAAGAAGCTCTCTTTTCATTCTGTTTATTGAACTATTAGGGTGTATAACAATATCAAATTATCTTATCTATTTATTTATATCTACATACAGTAACAGTTTAACTAAAAGATAAGGATTTAAAGCCTCTACTGGCTATTGCAGATGGTTTAGCACCACTACAGATGAGTTTGCACCCCCCTTTGACTCACGTGCTGCGCTAGGTATTCACCGCCGTCTTGTTTACTCTACCGCATAGTCATCAGAGGAAAGTATTGGCTTCTATAGGAATTATGCCAGCAGAATTTTGGCCGCACTACTGTGTATATCTAAAGCGGCTAGCGGACAAACTAGGTATCATTTGCAAGGGGCCCGGGGGGTGCAAACTCCTGTCCAGGGACTGTAGTATTATAATTACAGCCAGTATTCATAGTAATTATCAAAGCTACCAGTACTGTGATTGATATTAAAATTGTAATACTTGATACTGGGTAATATTACAATCTTTTGTTTATAGCTGAAAGAATCATTCTTTCTTAAAGCATCTTTCTTATTCTATTCATTAGGACCCTTAGAGTCTGAATTAATACTAATATACTCGTCTTGATTAAACTTACATATAATAGTATAAGGCGTAGAAAAGTAGGAAAGCTATACCCTCCCTCGCCACAAAATTCACAGCTTGTGATAAATTACAAATGCTGTTTAAACACTAAAAGAACAGAATAATTGCCGATGAGATTAGATAGTATAGTTTAGCCGTGTGCAATAACTAATAAAGTTATCTCAAACCCTGATCAAAGATTTTTGTTGGATTTTGAACAATCTTTGAAATTTATTATGAGTTGTGAAATTCGTGGCCGGGAAGGGTATGTATTGCAGACTCAGGGCTTCTTCCAATGTATTAGGAGTACAAAATATCCTGTACTCCATACATACATTATCATTGGTACAGTACATTAAGTGCGGTATCCCAGGTAGTCCACTGAAGTATATTTGGTGATGACTAAGTCATGTGCTAATCGCTAACTAGACTCCAGCAGGTAAGGCGGTGGGCTTGCTTGGCAAGACTCCCTCTGAGTTCCAACTTCATTGCGGCAGAAGCCAATCCCCAAAGCACGATTATTACACACCTTCTTCTGGCCACGCCAAACGATCATGGCTACCGATCACAAGGCAACGTTTGTCCCCCCAAAGCGGGCCAACACCGACTATCCGGTATGTTTTTAAGATATCTCAGCAAGTCAATTCAATGGACAATTGGCACTAACTGATTCTCCATAGCTAATTGATTCCGACCCGTATGGACCCGCCTTCAATCATTGATAATCGCAGAATCTCACACTGGAACTCAGGCATTTGAGACGAGTCGTCGGTTATGCAAGACCCTCTGATTATGCTGTAGCAGGTGGACTGGCTGCTGCTTCTCCACTTGCTTTCTGGATCATGGAGAGGGTGAGCCCGTCCCATGTCGGCAGAGGCGGCTTCGCTCCTGTCATGCGACTAGCAACAGCAATCGGTCTCGTTGGAGGTCTACATATCTTTTACCAACGATCTTGCAGTGAGTTTCGCACCGCAGCTGGGGAAAAGTGCCATTACGGATGCTAATTTGCCGTTGTAGATCGCTTCTATGGTTTCACGGAAAACTCACGGGAAGTCGAGATGGATATGAGAGAAATGGTAGACAAGGTTAAAAAGGGGGAACCATTGTACGGAACTTCTCAGGTTTCTCCATACTTGCAGGGTGTTGCTGCTAGAAACTCGCGTTATTCCCAGCTTTTCAGCCATGTCATTCCATGGATCAATATTGTCAACCACGATCAAGTAAGTATATCAGATATGCACGCAAGCCTGGTGAATTGGCGGAGTCTAGGCATGTCGAAACTCGAATGCTGACCCTTTGATAGCATGGCGTCGACACCGCCAAATATTATCAACAAGCGGAACGGGAGCTCGAAGCGGATCGCCTGAAATAGCCGTATCGCTCGCTCTCAATATCTGGGGGAATGAATAGTGACAAACATTAGATATGCCCTTGTTTCTTCTGTCGCCGCGAAACCTGTTGTATACGTATTTATATTCTAGCGCAATGTGAAACCCTCTTCAGCAGCTTGCCTTTATTGGGTCAATCCAGACAGCTGGGGATTTCTGCTGCAGGATACGAGGGCATAATATGAGCTGGTATTCCATACTTCAGATAGTTGGGCTCGAAGATTGACTGCCCGGTACGCTATTCTGAAAGCTCGTCTTGAGCTCACGGTGTTTCTTAGGCCGAGGCTTGGGAGCTGGGCTGCAGTCAGCGAGACTTAAATGACTGCTAATGACCGGACTCGTGCATACCATTTTCATTTTCTTGTATGTAGAAGCGCCGAAGTAGCATTATAGCTTCTTCCCGAAATAACCCCCCATGTACCACATACGGTGGGTCTATCGAGAGGCTAATGAGCGATATATTAGTGGCAAGAAATTGTTACGGGGGTGAAAACGAACTCAGAATGCAACGAGAGAATGCTCCCGGTCCCTCCGAACCTGTCATTTCCGCAGCCAAAATAAACGGTACGAATCTGATATTGCCTCAAAGCAGAAGCACACATAATGCACGGTTCAACAGTCACATATAGGTCTGTCGAATGAAGAAGCGTTCTAGGGTGATTTTCAAGCATTTGCTCGATGGCGATGAATTCAGCATGTCTTGTGCCCTGTGTTTCATCAGCTAAAATCGGTCGTTGGGCTCATTCAGGCAGTATCTGTAAGAGAAACCATTATAGTAGTGAAATTACATTCCAAGACACCCACAACTATGAATAGTGCTCTTTAGGCTTACCGCGCCTAGGCATTAACCTACATTCATGGATTTGTTGGTATCATTCATCCCTGAACCGACGATTTTGTTGTTATAAACAAGGACGCATCCTACCGGCGTCTCGCCTGTCTCAAGTGCTTTTTCACCCTAAAGAAAACACATTAGTTTGCTATTGTTCTATAGCGATATTGGTATCCACAGATACCATTATTAATGCCTGCTTCATAAAGTACGCATGACGTGAGTCCATGCGAGCAGGCACTGCCATGACTTCCCGGGTTTAATGAATGTGAGGTAGTTGGCAGAGGAAGTGTACTGGAGGAGAGCCCAAGGAGAGGAAATTTTCAGCACCTGAAAACTATAGCGTATCAATGTGCTAGTTTGACTTGCATGAATTGCCAGGGATCGCAACGGTGATGAAATTGGCAAATTTCTTCTGGGCTCAATCGATTTTTAGTCAAGTAACTCCAAGCTGAGGTGCAACGGAGTCATCTCCACAATTTTAACATTCTACGGAGTGTACTGTGAAGTAACTACAGCTTAGTCCTGCTTTCAACATGTATTCAATTATCTTATCCGGACTGCCGCGCGCGATGGCGCAGTGCCCCACTTTAATGTATACACGTACAATAAATAGTACAGTGCCTCGGGGCTGGGGTAACTAGTAACCATAGACGAGTATGAGTAAGTACGAAGTATAGCACATGTAAAAAGTCAATCGTCGTCCTTTGCTTTGGGACTTGCATCAACAGAGAGCATCTGACCTCGAAATGACAGGCCCTAAAGCAGCAAGTGCCTAAGAAAATTCCGAACTCCAATGAAGGCGAGGTATTCGGTATCGGTAGTCCAAGTGGAAATGTATGGAAATCTATGATTCTGCCCGCCGCCTTGGGTGATTATGTGATTATCGGATCGAACACGAATAACCCTCTACCCCATCCTCCAGAGCCTGTTCTAATCACCATCACCTGTCATTACCGAGCTTCCCCATCGCCTAGAATATTCGAAGACACATGCACCATGTGTGGTTGCATTGCCAATGGCAACAATTGAGCGCAAATCGTCTCGATTCTCCACATCGAAGACCAACCGATCGGACGTTGCAGAGACGGTTTCTTCGACCCTGGCGGCGCAGCTGGTTCCGCGTCTGTCCTCGCAAGGCGATCAGACGCGTATCCTAACCAAAGAAGCTTTCTCACAACTGCGGCATGAACTCCTTGAAGGCAAATACAGCCAGCTGCTATCCAATGACAGCGTCGCCGATGTCAAGAAGCTTCTTTGTATTGCCCTCAAAGCCGGCCTCGAGCCTTGTATCAAGGACCAGGGGCGCCACCGGGAGGACCTAGCAAATCAGCTCTGGGACTGCCTGGATATTATACAGGCTGTTGTCGACAAAGCACCTTTGGTTCTTGTTGAGGTTGCAGATCCGGAGATTCTGGGAAACGATGAACAGGTCCCCCTGTACTCGTGGCTGCTTGTCCGACTCCTGCGAGCGGCCAGTATCTGGGAGATAGACAGACTTAGAGAAAAAGTCAATAGCATCCTGTCGAGCATAACGAGTGTGCCCAATAATCATGCCAGAATCTTCCATTCTTTCCTTTGTATCTCTTCGTTCTTACGATCATGCACCATGGGTTTGTTCATGCGTCGCGTCTGTGTCGGATGTCTGGCTAACCTCCTCTAGACCTTCTGTGCTCTCTAGAGGCTTTTCATTCTCAACAGTTATCCAATGAGCATGCGACCAATCCTCCTGTAGTCAACCTGAAGCAACAATTCTGTATAGATCTTTTGAAACTCCGTCTTCCGCATGGCTCATTCAATAGGAGCATCAACGCAGGGTCATTGCTCCAGAGCTTCTTACTCTGTGCTGATATGTTCAAGTCTAACATACACGCTTATACCTCATCTGACACCCCTTTTGATCGGCATGATAAGATATGGCTCCTGAATGGTTATCAGCGCCTATGGGACCTGGCCGTTTCCTGGCTCCAAAAGACTTTTCCCGCTCCGAAAGAGACAACCACACAGATTGTTGTCCGCGTGATAGCCGCAGCTGGGACTCTCTTCACCCAGGGGAGATGCACAGATCAAGACTTACAGTTGGTCCATATTGTTCTCCAAAAATTGGGAGACCTTTTGGCCACGGACGACCTGAGCTATTTCCCGGTCATTCAACTAGAATTGAGCCAGCTCATAAACAGAGTTGTTGACATGTTGAGATGTACAGCGCGTCGCGCTAGCATCACGGACAAATCGATTCTGTTGAACAATGCAATGACGGAGAGACTTGCATTCTTTCAGTCTTTAGAGCCGCGTCTGCAGGTAACCGAGCATGAATAATCTGTGTATGTGTGCATTTGAGGCTAATTCTATAAGTAGGCGTCGGTTGAGAATCTTCTGAGAAGAGTCTTGCCATCAAAAGCGGAGTATACCACTGTGTTTGAGACTTCTGATGCTCTCACACAGCACGCAGTGCCAGGGATTGCTCAATCACAAGAGTCACGCACCATTGACCCATCAGTTGACAACACTGAAAGTGGTCCTTCTGTGAAGCGACGCTGTGTTTCGCGTTCTGATGCAAATATATTCAACCGCAGTTTGCTGCAAAGGCTTGTGTCAGAATTACTCAGCTTGCTTTGTGATCGAGACTCCAGTGATATCAAGGACGTTGGACCTGCCGTGTCGTAAGTCATACTACAATGAGATGCTATAACGGATACCTAATCCCGACTGTAGTGAATATTTTGGCGAAATTAGTGAGGAGAAAAAATGCGAAGTTCTACACACCCTAGGACTTTTACCTTGCGCTATGGCTGGAAGCTTGGCACGCATTGACGGAGCTACCTCGAATGATGCATCACATTGTCGCTTTTGCGATGATGAAAGCAGAAAAGACCGCTTCGACCCGGAAGAGCAGTGCCGCGGGGCTGACCTACTGGGTGACGTGTTTGCCTCCATACTACCTACGCTCTCCCGCACTGCGCCTTTGAGAATAGCTGCAATATCTGCTTTACGTAGGGTCATCATGCATTCTCCGAACTGTGAATACACGCGGCTCGCCACTTCTGTCTTCGGGGACTTCTATCTACACTCTATGAGGAGCTCTATAAGAGAATTACGAATAACGGCCGGGTATGTACTCTTGGGACTGTGTGGCCTAGCGGTGGGTGTTGACGATGTTTCTAGTTTTTCGATTACTTCGTTTGTTCAAAGAAACCTGGACCGAAGTGTTAGGCATGACAACTTCATAAGAATCTTGGATTGGTTACGCGGGATCGCAGAGAAGAAGGACATTTATTATCATGAAAGTTGCATCTTGACAGTTTGTCGGCTTGCAATGTAAGCCTTCCTTGATTCAACATCCTGCTCATGTTGCTAATCATCCTTTCAACCATGAAGGCTCTCCTATGACGAAGAAATGAACATCATTTTGCTGCGTCTTGTTGAATATCTGGGTCACTCGAATCCATTCGTCTGCTCCATCGCATACACTGAAGTATGTGTGAATCATTGGAAACCTTCTCTTCAAATTAACATTGGACCAAATTAACATTGGACTAATTCCCATCTAGCTCTCCAGACTCGCGCAAAATCTCTCACTTACTCCCGCTGGCTTGTTTCGACCATTCTGGAGAACCCTCTCTGTGACCGTGGTCAAGAGCTTCCAGTCTCGCCCTTACATGGCAGAACAGCTGTGCGATCTCCTAGGGATGCAAGTGGATGACTTCTTACGATTAACTGAGGTTCATGTTTTACCTTACCTTGTGCTCACACAAAAACGGGACATCATCGCCAGGGTAGGCGCCACATACAAAGAACTCAAAACCCCGTTCGATATATGTTCAGAGAAGAACAATCTCGCCGCTATACTAGCGTTCTTGTTGAGCCAGCCATCATCGGACCCGGAAAATAGTATAATGTCCATCTTATCCACAGTGGATGCCGCCTTCGCTGGACGTACCTTAGCCGAACTCTTGAGAGTCGAGCCGATTCTCATCGCTTGTGAAATTCTCAAGAACTTGGGGGACTCGAGCGTCAGAAAAGGAGCGAGAGTAGGTGTGCACTCAAGGCTTGCTGGCCATGGTCACTAAGTGTAACAGTTCCAGCGAGCGCTTCATCTCCTCGCCGCCCTTGTCCCACGAAAATCCGCCAATGCACAAAAACGAGGCAACTTGATCGGTCACTTCATCGAAGAGCATGTACTTGGCATCATTACACAATTTGCACATGCCATTAATGATTTTCAAGTCAGACAGTCACTCATGGAAAAGAAAAGAAATCTTGCAGCTATTGGAGAGATGATCAAGGTCGCTCGAGGTCACGTCAGTAGTGCTTTGCCACAGGTCTGCCCTTTAAACCTTCTTTCAGTCATATTAGTGCAATGCGGCTGACTTAAATTAGATATGTGCTTGCTTACAATCCGCACTCGAAATGAAGGATTTGTGCAATCATGCATTCATGGTGTGGAGAGTCCTCATTAGCACTCTTCAGGGGGAAGAGGTCGAGTCCCTCATTGATCAGACATTGTCTATAGTGCTAAAGTACTGGGACATGTTCACTGAAGAAACACAAAGTCATGCTCACGACTTGGTTGGTTATATCATACATCATCATAGTGATGTGGTACGCGACATCTTCCATACCATGCCCTCTCTTTCTTTAATACCGAGGCTAGCCAACTTTGAGGTAGAGATCAACGAGCTTAGAGGAAAGATGGACGTTCGGAGCCGATTTTTGGCTTTCATTCGTCGCAGCCAAAGTGAAAACGCGGTAGTCATTGAGCAAACTTTGAAGGAACTCGTTGCCTTCCTTTCTGGCAATGAAGAATTCGTTCATGCCTCAGTGCTCAGTGAACAACCAGATCCGGTTGTTTCACAGCTGACTCGAGCCTTGCTTGATTGCTGTGTCAAATTCAATGCGAGCTCGGAATCCATCACTATTCTCTCGGCTCGGTGTTTGGGTTTGATCGGCTGTCTTGATCCCAATCGAGTAGATACGATAAAGGAGAAGAAAGATATACTGGTCTTATCGAATTTTGACAGCAAGGAGGAGACTTTTGACTTCATTCTGTTCTTCCTGCAGCACGTTCTTGTCGAGGCTTTTCTGTCGACATCTAACACGAGAGCCCAAGGATTTCTCGCGTATGCAATGCAAAATATGCTCAGGTTCTGCAACCTTGACTCGGCCGTGATTAGCCGGTCTCGGGATGTTCAAGGGGAGGAAAATTATGGACGCTGGATGCAAATGCCTGAAGCTGTTCGCAACATCTTGACTCCATTCCTAACATCAAAGTACACAGTCACGGTTGGCGCCATCAACACTAATTGCAAATCTCCTCTTTTCTCTCTGGAACTGACTCATGGCAACTGGCTTCGAAGCTTTGTGCAAGACCTGTTACGAAGTGGGAACGGCGATAATGCACGACTCATATTTAGCGTCTGCAGTCGCATTGTTAAGGGTCAGGATATTTCGATAGCGTCATTCCTTTTGCCATTTGCGGTTCTAAATCGCATAGTTGGCGGAACGGAAAGTGAGAAGCAAGATTTGCGATGCGAACTGGTACATACATTGTCTTATCCTCTTCCAGAATCGAACAATTATGCATACGAGAACATATTGTTATGCAGTCAGGTCAGTTTTCCTGGATTTCTCACTTCGCAGGCACTGACTAGCACCTTGGTCTCTTGCTTAAGAGTATCTTTGAGGTTCTAGATTATCTTTCGCGATGGCTTCAAGGAAAGAAGAAACAACTCAATAGCTTCAAGCATCACAGCCATCACGTTAGTCGTACCCACAAGGAAGCGTCTCGCCAAATGCTCCTGGATACCTACACATCGCAGGTGAAAGCTGTGGAAGCTTTGTTGATCTCAATACCCCCAGAGATCATCTCAAGAAGAGCGGTCGAGTGCAAGTCATTCTCACGGGCCCTGTTCCATTGGGAGCAGTACATTCGTCAGTCCAAGATTCAGGCCGGCACACGGCAGCCTTCCGGAACCGAGTCTCTGTACCAGCGTCTTCAGGATATTTACAGCCAGATCGATGAACCAGACGGCATTGAAGGAATTTCGTCCAGTCTTCATGCGCTGAACATCGATCAGCAAGTGCTTGAACATCGCAAAGCAGGAAGGTGGGCTACTGCGCAGAGCTGGTATGAGCTACAGGTCCAGAAAGATCCGGACAATGGCGAAGCGCAATGGAATCTGCTTACTTGTCTCAAGGAATCAGGACAGCAAGGTATGCCGTTAATTAGCAGTTGTTTGCTGCAACTTTTCAGACTCACTCGTGCTGCACAGATGCTATTCTCGCTAGATTCGAGGTTCTCACAAGTCCTGTTCTAAGGAGTAAGTTCCTTCCCTTCGCAGTGGAAGCATCTTGGATTACTGGGAACTGGGATCGACTACACCATTATCTACGACTTGGCTCGCAGGATACGTCGGATTTCAATATCGGGATTGGACTCGCGTTCGACGCACTTCGTCGTGATGACGGGGCAAGGTTCGGGCAGCTGATCAATGGTCTGCGACTCAATGTTGCCAAATCACTGACAGCTAATTCGGTGACTTCGTTGCAATCATGCCATGACAGTATACACAGGTTGCATGCTTTATGTGAGATTGAGTTCATAGTTAGGATAGGACACGAGCCTTGCATCGAGCAAACGTCACGGTCAGAAGTGCGTGCTGTTTTAGACCGTCGTCTAGACATCTTAGGAGGATATATCTCCGACAAGCAATACCTACTTGGCCTTAGGCGAGCAACAATGGAATTGACGTATGGATATTCCTTCAGTTTTATGAAACTTACCGCGGACTGACTGTACACTTGAAGGGGCAAATTCTCCGATTCTGAAATCGCAGCTGCTTGGCTGGCTAGTGCCCGTCTTCTGCGGAAAGGCAATTACACCAACCAAGCATATCAGTCAATGCTTCATGCTGCCCGCTTGAAAGACCGAACAGCTACTATCGAACACGCCCGACTTCTGTGGAAAGACGGTCACCACCGGAAAGCGATACAGACGCTTGAAGGTGCAATCATGGCTAATGAATTTTCAACGTCAGGCGATCCCGATTCCGGATCCCTACTACGTGACAAACACCAGAATATTCTTGCAGCTAGGGTATATCACTTTTATCGAGTTATGTACAGCGTCTAACCCGGGCCACGTCTCTCTTAGGCCCACTTGCTCCTGGCAAAATGGACGGATCGTGCCGGTCAAACTCAATCGGATGTTATTGTTCAAAGGTTCAGGGAAGCCATAAAACTTCAACCAAGGTATCTGCCGAAGTTCTCTGTGAGGGACTCATGCTAACCATAAGTAGGTGGGAGAAAGCACATTATTATCTGGGAAAGCACTACAATAAGATCTTGGATTCTGAGAAGGCGAAGCCACTGGGGAAGGAGGCACAGATCTAGTACGTTTGCCTTTTCAGGTCCCCAGATTTCTGAAGCGATTCTATCTTACACGTCCTAGTTTGAGTGGCGAAGTCTCAAAGCTTGTTGTCGACAATTATCTACGATCATTGGCTCATGGGAATAAATATGTCTTTCAATCACTGCCCAAAGTGCTGACTTTGTGGTTAGAACACGCATCTGTCGTGGAACAGCCATTTGATCCTAAGCGCGGAGACAATGAGTAAGCCCCTTTACTCTACTCATTCGTTGTTTCGACAAAAACGGCTTTTTGCCTGTCTAGTCACATAATTGTTGACATTCCTGAAAAAAGGGAGTTTCAAAAGCATACCCTACAGCAGCGAAAGAGAAGCCTCGAAGACATACATTTGCAGCTAAAGAAGTACATACATCGAGTCCCAGCTGCGTTGGTAGGTCCAGTGACTTTGATTTACAGCATAACATACTAACAAACTCAGCTGTTTACAATTCTGCCTCAAGTCCTAGCTCGTATCTGTCATCCGAATACCACGGTATACGACCTCTTGACAAAAATTGTAGCCAAAGCTGTGAATTCTTTCCCTCAGCAAGGGCTATGGACAGTCCTCGCCGTGGTCAAGTCGTCTTCTAGAGACAGAGCCTCGAGAGGTATTAGTTGTCTCCAGAGAATCACGGTATGTCAACATGGAAAATTGGCAGGTCCTGCGAGCTAATTGAAGCAGGACATGAACAAGAAAGCGAAAGGAGAGTCATCCGTATCTGACATGCGTGCGATGGTTAATCAAGGCCAGAAATTCTCAGATGAGATGTTGAAACTATGCATAGCACGCATTGAAGAGAAGGTATCAAGGGTGAATCTTAGAACTCTTGGTTTCAATCATAAAGTGGCCCCCTGTCGACTTGTCGTGCCGTTTCAGGCAATGTTAACACCGATCTTACCAGCCAGTCATGATTCTGAATATCTCAAAAACTTCAGGGCCTTCCCCAGAGAGGCAATTACAATTGAAGGTGCGAAGCTGCCGATACTCATTACTTAACGTGCTTGCTGATCGTTACTAGCTGTCCTCGATGATGCTCAAATCCTGAATTCACTTCAAAAGCCCCGTCGTATCAGTATCCGAGGGTCGGATGGAAGGATTTACAGTATCCTATGCAAACCCAAGGATGACCTTCGCAAGGATCAACGCCTCATGGAGTTCAATAACATGATCAATAGATTCTTGAAGAGAGACGTCGAATCGAGCAAACGTCGAATGTGTAGGCATTATACTCCCGGACAGCTTTTTCATTTTCCCTCTTCTGATCTTATGTATTGCTCGACAGACATCAAAACATATGCTGTTACGCCACTGAACGAGGAGTGTGGACTCATTGAGTGGGTGGATAACCTCCGCACATTGAGAGAACTTGTCATCAAGCTTTTGAAAGAGAGAGGAATTTCGCCAAATGCAGGTCTCCTACCGCGAATGGGCCGGAAAGCTGAGTGCTAACCCAGCTTCTACTATATAGTACAGCGAGATTAGGCAAAATCTCAATGAAGCCTGCTCAGAGGCTTCGAAACTCGATTTGTTCTCAACTCAGATTCTTGCTAAGTATACAACACGGAAGGCAAATCCCGCTACAGGCTGGTTGGCTAACAGACGACTAGATTTCCTCCGGTGCTCTACGACTGGTTTGTCGAGATGTTCCCTGAAACGGAAGCATGGTTTGCAGCCAGGATACGTTACACCCGATCCTGCGCTGTTATGTCTATGGTTGGTTATGTCTTAGGGTATGGCACCTAGTTTCCTGAGGCTTCCTAGCACTATTCCAGGACGTTGTTTTAAGAGACTCCCAACAGATTAGGTGACCGTCATGGTGAGAACATTCTCTTTGAGGAAGGGACAGGGGGGGTACTACATGTCGACTTCAATTGCCTTTTTGACAAGGTGCGTTGGAACTTGCCAAGTATAGCTATGTTCTTCCAAAAGCTAATTCCTTCTCAAGGGCTTGACCTTCGACAAACCTGAGCTAGTTCCTTTCCGCTTAACACAGAATATGGTGGATGCGTTTGGCGCCTACGGATACAATGGTTAGTGGGTCGGGAAGCTTGAAGGCACGAGCTCTCGGATATTGACAAGTATTCCAAACAGGTCCATACCGCAAGACCTGCGAGATAAGTCTAAGATTGCTTCGCCACAATGAAGATGCACTCATGACGGTCCTGGAGACTTTCCTGCACGATCCGACCACAGATTTTATAGGGAAAAAAGTAAGCGTGCCGAATCCCCAGAAAGAAATTTTTAATGCTCAGTGATTTATAGCGTCGCACACATGCAAGTGTGCCTGATACACCCGCCGGGGTACTAGAAAATGTGCGCAGCAAACTCCGAGGTCTCCTACCTGGGGAATCTGTCCCACTTTCCGTCGATGGCCACGTCGATGAATTGATTATACAGGCAACCGATAAGCGAAATTTGGCAGCTATGTATATTGGCTGGTGCTCCTTTATTTAAACTGGACAGACCTGCACTCAGATTTGTCATACTATTAGTACATCGACGGCTCTCAGTAAATACATGAATGCACGGGGCTACGGGTGGTTGGACTGAGAAACAATGTCCCATTTTTCTAGCTATTACTGATAGGACTGGCTCGTCTGTTTGTGTTGCCTGAAAATTTCACTGGGTAAGTTGATGATGACATTTTGGCTTGGTGACCATCCACAATCTAGTAATGAGTGCAGATGGTGTGTGAATCGTTTCAAAGACGACGGTAAGTTTATTTGGAGTTTACCGTGTGGTATCATGCCGATAACGGTCTCTGGTCTGACTCGGGCTCCGGCTCTTATCACTGCGACTGCTGTACTCATAACTGCTGTAGCTGGGACTACGACGTCGACGACGACGAGTGTCCACTCGTGGGTGTGGCATCCGTCCTTTCGGTGATACCGAGGAAGTTCTTGAGGAATATGATCTGGAGCGGCGTGGTGATCGAGAGCGCGAAGGAGAGCGTGGCCGATAGATATCATGCCTATCCATAGGCCGCGAACGCCGGGCCCTTCGTGGCGACGTTGACCTTTGCGGGAACGGCGAACGGCGGGAAGCACGAGTGTCTAAGGGCGAAGGGCCATGGCCCTGGCTCTGACGGCCGAAGCTTCCTGTGTTGCCTTGACTTTGTGGCGGCGGCGAGCGCGAGAACGCTCGCCTGGGCAAGACAATGGACACACTTATGACGACACCGTCTAGCTGCGCTTCGTGCATGTGTGCGATGGCGGCCTCTGCATCAGCAGGGTCATGGTATAGGATATAGGCAGTGCCTCTATTGGTCATGACTGCGACTGGTTAGCATCCATGAGATTATGACCGGCGAGAGCTCGTTGAATTACAGGCTTTATTCATGGGCAAATCGAGATTTTGTATCTCTCCGAACCCCCCGAAGATCTCATGTAGATGTGATTCGGTAACATTTTTGGTGAGTCTTTCTACAACAATCTTTGACGCAGTTAGCGCGAGAACGTGTAGCTAGCCAAGCTTGTTATGTCCGTGGTCAACAAACCTTGGAGCTTCGGGGCAAGGCGAGTGAGGGACTAGGCGACCGGCTGTAACCTTCCTTTCCATATAACCTTGAAGTCTGACTCCGACTTCGACTCCGAGAATGCGTTCGAGATCGAGACCTGCTTGTGAATCGAGCGCCATTGCGCCGGCCCGAGATGCGATCAATGGACGGACTTCGCGTCCCACTCTTGTACCTTGTCTCTGAACGGGGAGATTCAGATCGTCGCGATGGTCTAGCGTCTCGATTGAGAGTAGAGTAGCGCGGTGAGCGGTTCGAAGAGTATTCCCGAGGCCTGTCAGACATGCTGTGTTGTCAGGCCTAGACCTGGAAAGTTGAAGTCAGAAGGTTGGCTGGAAGTTGGGCGAGGTACTGGCAAGGAGGGTGGGTGGTGTGGAGCTTCCCGCCTCCAAATACAATACGTAGGAGCAGGGCCATCCTTCTCGGTAATCAAACACCCGACCCGCAACTACGTAGCATCTCACGCCTATGGCATGAGACAGGGGACACGCGACTCGGGAATGTAGATACGCAGGGTCTATTTCGCTTATGTCCTTCATTTTTGAACCAGGCCAGTGTTAGATATGTGCAGTTTCAGCGTCTTACAATGGATCAGTATCAGAGGCATCATAAATATTTCTAAATATCGGCTGTAGCGTTACCCCATCGTTCGTACTCCTCCACAACGGCGGCTGTTATTTGCCTGCGAACCTGCTGGAGTGCATATTCGAAATGTTTCAGTCGAATGTCCTGCTCCTGTCCGGTTTCCTCTTCCTCATCTAAAGCAGCATCACCGGCTGTCTCGCATATACTAACAATCTCCGCTCCGGAGTATCCTTCCATTTTCCCAGCTAGAGCTTCTATCTCTACTTCGGGATGGACCACAGACTTACTGAACCAGATGCTCAGAATCTCCTTCCGGGCCTCGAAATCTGGAGGCCCTATATAAAGGATATTATCCAGACGGCCTGGTCGCATCAAGGCCGGATCAATGACCTCAGGCTTGTTTGTGGCCGCGACGACCAACACATTCCTCAGCTCTTCAATTCCGTCCATCTCGTTCAATAGTGTTGTAAGAACATTGACCCCGCCCTGAGATGAGCTGCCACGCCTTGAGGCTATTGCATCAATCTCATCGAAGAAGACGATACTAGGCCTCGCGGACCGTGCCTTTCGGAAAATCTCCCGTAGTGCTCTTTCTGACTCTCCAACGTACATGCTCAGGATTTCAGCACCTTTGACTGCCAGAAAGTTCAATCCTGCTTCCGTAGCCAGTGCTTTCACGGTCAGCGTCTTGGAGCAACCCGGTGGCCCATATAGCAAAATTCCCTTTTTACTGTTTACATTCAATCTCTTCATTCGTTGTGGATGCTGTTCCGGGGAGTCAGCAATGTCAAGGCATGATCAAAATACGGAAACCTACCTTCAGAGGTCTCTCCACTGCCTTCTGTAGGCGTCTTTTAATCTCATGCTGTCCACCAATGTCCGACCATCTCACTTTAGGGGTTTCCAGGAATACCTCCCGCATTGCAGTTGGTCGTGTCTCCTGTAGAGCAGAAAGAACATCATCATCCTCGATCTCGAGGGGTATATTTGCGTCCAAAGCCACTCGGCCCGTACTTGAGCCATTATCAGTGGCACAAATATAATCCTCCGTCGATTGGCGTTTTCGCGCCTTTCGACAGACCAATTGAAGCAATGCAAATAGATCAGCACCGACATAACCATGCGTTTTTTCCGCTATGAGATCTATTAGCGTGTCACTCAGCGTAGGGGATGGGTTTCCGCATATGGCATGTAAGATTTCACTTCGAGCCTGCGCTGTTGGCACTTGAAGCTCGATCTCAATCGCTAATCGATGGGGTGTCCTTAAAACATCATCAACATCGTTCGGGTGCCGAGTCGCGGCCACAACCAAAACTAGAGCGCCTTTCACCATGTCCAGACACTCGCACACAGCGGCCGTCAATGATTGGGTCTCCACGGTGGTTCTTCTCGGCGCTATATACTCCAGTTGATCGATGATTATAGCACTTGGTTGACAACGCATTGCGTCCTGAAAAGCATTGCGCAGCTTGGTTTCAGCGTCACCAGAGTTCCTACCAAAGGTAGAGGAGCCAACGTTGAAGGTTTTTCTCCACCCCGCTGCTTGAATTTGACCCAATAGCGCCGTCTTGCCGGTTCCCTTAGGACCATAGAGCAATATGCCTCGACTATGCTCATAGAATGGGGGCATGGTCAGAGCACTGGCATCCGAGTTGAAATCAGCAAGGCTCTCGTTGATACTATCGATCTGTGACTGCATCCCACCCAAGCCATCTGAATTCACTTTCAGATAGGACTCCCTACGACTCACTGGTGCCACGTCCTCACCGATGATGATTTTGCTAGTGTCTGTGAATTTGAGCAAGGTATAATCACCGTTTTGACTTTGGCCTGACATGCCGGCCACTTTGAAACTGCGTCGCTGGCCTCTAAGCTCCAATTCGAAAACAAGACCGATGGCAATTGCATCACATCTCGCCAGAGGGAATTCAAGAGACCATGCCCAATGGCTTATGTCGCTGGAGGGTATGATGCCAAATTTAGTGATCTTGTCATCATCTGAGCAATCCACTAAGGAGACCGTCTGTGCTTCTTCGAGTGGCCCATCAACTTTGCTGATAGTAACTTTTTCGCCAATCTTATATCCGTAGCAATCCTGAAGAGTCCGAGAAGTCTGAACGACGGTATTCTGGATATTCTCAACTGCATTCCAGGCTATAGCATTTTTGGAACCTTCTCCAGAGATATGGAGGGCGCAAACATCACCAGCCCTAAGTTTAAGAGCGGCTAACGAGGAAGATGATAGGTATACGCGAAAGGCATCTCGATGATCGTTTCTGGTCTGTTTCGAGAGCGGTCGAACGGTGAAAGACCGAGTCTCAGACATGGTGTATAATGCGAAGCTTGGAAGTATCGGCCGGAAGAGATTGGCTTCGGGTGGAATAATCTCACTCTTCTAGAAGAAGGCAGATCACGAAGTAAAGGAGGTTTCAATATCAATTGGATTAAGCCCAGCGCTTACTAAATCATTTTTCGATGGTCGCGCGGGATGCAATGGCCGAGGAACAAGGAGAGCGAACACTTCGAGTGCGTACCAAGGACTGGCGAGGTTGAGTGCCTTCTATAAAGTGAAGAAGAGCTTTGTGGATAGGCGGGCGATTGTCAAGAGTTCGCTATATTTGAGCCATTTCTGTCAAGGAAAGAGCCAGAGTATAGAGATAGTGAGATGGCGTAGGCACTTTATGAGCTTAAATTTCTTTTTTTCCCCTTAGGAGCGGGGGATATGCAGGCTGCCCCACTCGCACACACTTCTCTACCTCAGGCTACGTAGTAGTCAGTAGCTAAGCTGGACAGAACCAATTGTATCTGTTCGTGTATCGCATTCACCCGTACCCGAGTCAGGGGAAGTGTCACAAGCAATGTATTCTCAGGTGCGTAATCTCTTCTAGAGGCCGTGGTTCTGGCACATACGGGCTTGTGAAACCTTCCCTCAGTACTAATGACTTTGAAACTCCAGGCACAGTACTTTGGCTGCAAATGAGTTGCGAAGGAATCACAAACATCAAATATCCGAATACCAACTGGATTGGGACTATCTGCAAGTTTCTACTAAGACATTTGACTTGCTCGCATGTATTCTGCCTATGAGTGATCAATTTTGAGCTGTCTTCTACAAGTACCGCATGTGAACTGTTCTGTCCTCAGGCCTCCTGCCGCGATTGACCAGGAGGCCGTGTCTGAGGTTAGATGGTTTATCATTCTAGATAATTTATATACATCTTGACACCGATTGCGGACCCTTTTTCGAGACTCTGTATATCAGAGCAATATGACTGATATTAAATTACTACCGAACAGGTGCCGAATTACCGAATTACCGACCCGAGTACATATCACTACCGTTGATGAGGTATGAGAATGATACCCACAACATAGAAGGAGCCCCTGTTGATGCCCGTATAGCCCTGAAAGCAGAACAATCAATACACTGGTACCATTCGAAGCACCATTCCCATTATGTCAGGAGCTCGTATATGCTGAGGATAGGAGATATGCCACGAATCGCTGCCGAGGGTAAGATACCACCATACTATCTAACCAAAGAATGTATCCCTGGGAGTCGGCTACTTTGCTTCGTGACAAATTTAGCGGGCCGACGCCAAGTTCGAGAGCAGCAGTGTAATAGAGCTAAAGTGACGCATTGTTAAACACACGAGGTTTCAAGCAGAAAGAGACAAATTGCAGAAATAACAGTGTTGTACCTTCACTTAGATGTAAATCTTTGCACCAAGACTTTCATACGACCAGGCTATTTCCTTGGCATCTACTGGAGTATGAGAGCTTTGGTATATACCATCCATGACACGTGCTCGGCCACATGTGGGGCAAGGTGTAGGGCCACAGAGGAACAAGAGGGAGAGAACTTGAAGCTTTCAGAGTTGGAGAATTTGAATTAGCAACACTTTCCGCTTGTGTTGCCGTTCAAGCCAGAGCCTTGCTGGTCTATACTAACGCCCTGAGAGCTGACCTGCTCAGACTTTGATGAATCCATTCCTTTCTTGATATCTGAAGCAAGATCATAGAAAGCTTTTTCAATGTTGATGTTGTTCTTGGCCGAGACTTCTAGAAATGGAATACCCAGCTCGTTAGCTAGCTGCTGGCCTTGCTCGGTCGATACTGCTCGCTTCTCTTCCCAATCACACTTGTTGCCAATGAGTATCTTGTGAACACCTTCACTTGCATGCTGCTCCACATTGGAAAACCATGTGCGGATATCTGATTCAATGATTTAGATCATTAGCATCTCACTCGTGCCAGTAATTCCAGAAGGAGTTCTTACTTTGGAACGACCGTTCATCAGTGACATCATAAACCAGGAGAATCCCCATTGCTCCTCTATAGTAAGCTGTTGTAATCGTTCTGAATCGCTCTTGCCCAGCCGTATCCCATATTTGGAGCTTCACGCGCTTGCCATCGAGTTCGATAGTGCGGATCTTAAAATCAATGCCAATAGTGGTAATGAACGACGGAGTGAATGAGTCCTCGCTGAATCGCAGCAGACAGCAAGATTTACCGACACCCGAGTCACCAATCAACAACAGTTTGATCTGAGGATACATAATATTAGAGAGATGATTCGCCAGAGAGGAAACTGCCACCTACCAAAAAGTCGTAATTCCTTGTACCGGCCATTATGCACTGGCCCTAACTACAGAGGTCCAGCAAGGTCAAGCTTCAAGAAATAGCTTCGGTGAGGAGTTTGTGCTTAGAATTGAGACTGGTCCGAAGCAGGTGTTGCTTTCTACTCCGTGGTTCGCCGCTCAACCCTGCCTTCTCGGTTTCCGTTTCACTGATGACTATTAGTACATCACTCGTCTGGGATTTTCTTTAGAGATGCAATTACCCTGGACTGGTCTGTGGGAGCTTCTCGCACACAGCGCTCAGATGTGACCTTGGAAAGCCTGGTTTTACCCGAGTAATGGTAGTTTGGGAGGACTCCGATGATTCAATCGTTTGTCCGGGAGTACGGGGGCTCAGGGGCCGGGGCCGGGAGACAAAGAAAAGTGGGTTTAGAATCCTTGTGGGCTAACGTTACCTCCGATCTCTGAATCGACTGCGATCAGATCCTGAAGAAATGTGGGGTGAAAGTTGTGCGTTCTTGATAATGTATGATATTGAACGATGCCGGTGATAAGATGGCGAGTTTGAGAATAAGCTAGGGATGCAACCGATAAGTTGCGTGTACAAAGAAGGCCCAAGGCGGAGTAGAACTCCGTAGATCCACTGGTAGTACTCCGTACCCAGACCAGTAACACCACCGTATCGCACTGCTTGGCCCCATACACCCGCTATAATCATCTAATTCAAGAAGAATTCCGCGTATCAGCTTCAGTGTAGATCATCTAGAATTGTTTCGGCGCAAAGCAACAAATTAACAATCCATATTGAAAGAATGGAGCTGTCGACTCTGCTATTTACTACCACAAGAAATGATATGTGCGTCGGTCGCTATTACTTGGCTACAATTGCCAGTGCCTCCTCTCCCTTCCGCTGCCTACCTCATCCATGACATGTATGGTTTTAGAAAGAGCATCCTCATTTACTGTCTACCCATGGGGTCTGGCCGGTGACGGTCGGACTTTGGGAGTCCATATACCCCAACAATAACCGGTGTAGCAATTGCCATTCCCAATGCAAGTAGGATGACTTGAGTACTAGGTACCTAACAGGTTAATGCAGTCGAATCATCATTGGTTTTTATGGCTGAGTGTTGGCAAGACACGCTGAAGATAGTCTTACAACCATCGGGAATAAACCCAACCCATCCGTTCAACAACCTTGATTTGTTTTTGCGCGCTTCTTTTGCTGATGATGTCATTAATGTCTTCCTGGAAGGCATGGATGTCAGCCCCTCTAAGCATGGCTTGTGCTTTCTGAAGTAAAATCTCGGTGTTGCATATTAGCAGACCGTAGTCTTTGAAGGCTAGGGTTCCGCTGGCCGTCACAGTCGATAAAGTTAGGTTACGGTGAACTTGTCTGGATTGGGCCTCATTAGACTCGTCATCGACTTCGCCGAGATAGCGTACTAACCTCAGTGCGTGCCTTAATTCATGCTGCCGCCGACCAAGGCGCAAGCCCTTCCTGCTGCCAAACATGCCAAAGAGCCAATGAACGGAGGCATACGACACCAATAGACCAGGGGTCAATCCAACGAAACTATGGCCTGTTAACATCACACCTACTTGTAAAAGTAGGGTAATACTTACCCAAACACCAGCTCCTGGCTCCTCAGCAAAGCATCAATGCCTCCAATAGCAACCTCGACATCCACCTTTGTCTTTTGTATCTGTATCAGGAGGGCTCGTACTAAGTCACCTCGAATAGTTCCAATGAATGGAGTTCGTAAATCCTTCTCATATGCCCTCAATACCGGTGTGAGATCACCTTCCCTGACTTTGTTCATGATTGTGTTCATTTCTGCGGATGCGAGAGACTCATCGCTGGGCTCGCGATGGTCTAGGACGAAATCTACCACCATTCTTTCCAAACTAGCCCGATCTGCTTCAAGACTGTTCTTGCTCATTAACGCGATTTCGCTCTTCTCATCGTGTCTTATTGTACCAACGAGTCGCTTCAGTGGGTCCACGACCCAGTTGTTCCAGAACTCGATTGTTGTGGATCCGATATCCGTGATCCACCCCAGGAGTTCATGGCGCCGGGCCTTGAATATCTCGAGAATTGTACTGGTTGACAAGGTCGCCAGTAGAAATGGGAGCCAGTAACGCACTATGAATGAAGGTCGCCCAAGCCCACTGGTACTTTTTTGTGTAAGCGCAAGGTACTGTGGAATCAATGTCTGGTTTATTTGGTCGAGTTTTCCAAGAACATAGTAAGGTCCTTTAGGACACACAGGTCCGTCAGAATGCACGTGAAGCAACGAGCCCTCTTTCTCGGCGGCCGCAGTAATCTTGAGTTCAAATTCATGAAGTGTGCCGCCAGAGGCCAGATGCTGCAGTACTAATCCCAACAAAGTCACACTGTCAATAATCTTACTGCACCATTCATCACTAACAGAGCTGTTACCATGTGTGCCTATGAGATCGTCATCAAGGTCAATCTGAAGGCATCGTTCCACCAGGAATCCCAGTGCACCGGCATTGACATCTTTGGCCACATGCAGCATTTTCCGTTTCTGGCGTACCTCTAACTTGGATGCTAGAAGTGGATGCAGTAATCCCTTTCGCATAGTAGACATTGTCCTAGAGAATACACGCCGACGGGCGGAGTGGTGGAAATGATGCCATGCATTTGATGTGAGAATTGCTTGAGTCCATATTCCGGGGGACAACCAGGCAGAGGATTGATGTCCAAGCTTGTGCCAGAGCCACACAGGGAATGTCTGCGCAGTATACAGCCCCATGTACCATTGAGATTCCAGAAGACTGTCCCAGTAAGTGAGCTCATCAGTGATGGCGAGGGTGTTCTCCGAAAGCGACTCCAAGATTAATCCAAATGTTTGAACGGCAGCCCTAGCGGCCACAATCCAAGATAGATCTGTTATGACTGGGCTAGACGAATGAAGACCTGAGGAGTGGCCACATACTACCCGAGTCTGGGGACACTCCGAGATCAATCGCGCAATCCGGCTGGCGCGCAAAGCCGGCTGTGAACGTGATGCTATTGAAAGGGAGTCTGAGATGCGCTCCAGTGTTTCTATGTCCTTATTTTGGTTAACATCGCTGGGGGTTTCCTGAAGCTCGACATTTGAGCTTCTTGTGATGCGCTGCTGTAATCTGTGGAGCTGTATATCGAGGTTATAGACTATGCTATTGTCAAATGAGCGAAGATTCAGATCGACTGGCGAAGAAGAGGTACTTACTTATTGACCACGAACATGGTGGGGATTTACTTGAGGCACCAAGGCTGAACGTAAGTCCAGCAGGCACTGGTTGCGAGGAGGAAATCCAGGGAACAAAAGTACCTAAGTGTCAGCCAATGGCGTCATATTTAGTAATATAATCGGTACTAGTTAAGCGAGTCGGTTATGTAAGCAAGTCAGCCACCCGGTCTTAGCAAGCAGCCCGTTAAGCTGTTTATATCGGAATTTTGATTCATATATAAAAATAGGAGTATTATTAGAAATTTCTATAACTTTTTAAAAATATATAATTAGTTGTTCTTTTATTGAATATGTGGATGGCCTGGCCTTCCATTGGCTGGGCAGCTCACCGCCTTCCGGCCGGCAGTTCAGATAGATGCTTAGATAGATAAATCTATTCTTTTTTGTATTTTTCTTAGATTATAAGTTTTCTATTTAATTTTAATTCTTTTTTTCTCTAAAGTATCAATGTTAGGAACTACTTGACGCAGTAGACACGTTGGTTAGTGTTGGCCGCCAAACCTGCGGGTGTTCTGCCACCGCCCTTAGCAAACTGCCGGCTCCGGCCGCCTTTCTTTTGCCTCGAATAAAATCTTTTTCTATATATATCATAGATAGCAAAGCAATCAAGTAAATATCTTTCTATAAATTAAATCTCTTTTTAATAGCAACTTTGTTATAGTACAAACCTAATACACCGGTTCTACCTGATCTATTTATTCTATCTGTTTAATCTATCTAATCTATTTGATTTGAGTTTTTAAATAATGCGACTATTTTTATCTGTTTTATATATAATCTATAATCCTTTTAATTAATTATTTATTTTTAATCTTATTGTTGTTCTTTAGGCTATATTTTATTTATAAATCTAGGAATAATCCAATCTAATAGCTAATAAAAAAATTGAAAAAGTTTTTTACAAAAAGTTAGCTAGATAAAACTATTATCTCTATTATTATATAATTTCTATTGTTAAAAATAATGATACTAGTGAGATACTAGTAATTCTATAATTTTAGTAATATTAAATATTTTAGAGAGATTTATATAATTTATTAAGAAATATTTTTAAAAATAAATTTTATTATTATAATTATATTGGCCAACCCTGCGGGTGCCCACCGCCAGGGGCAAACTGCCGGCTCCGGCCGTCTTTCGGCTATCTCCCGTCTTTAGCGAACGAAGCCTTTATATATATAATATAAAAAAAAATCAAGCAAGGATTTATAAATTAATTGATTTTTTATTGATAGTAAAGACTTGCTACTACTAATACTAATAATGTATTTATTTAATAATTCTTAGTCTATTTAAGAATCTAATATTAAACAGAATTGCTAATACAATATTTCTAAATTAGTTCATTAATTCAGGATAAATATTTTATTGAATAAAATATTTATAGTACTACCGAGGCTCTTTTTTAATTTTTTAATTTTTTAATTTTTTAATTTTTTATTAATTTTTTCCTAATTACTTACTTTTATTACTTTTTTATTTATTAATTACTATTATAGTATTATTTTCTTACTTATTTAGAATTTTTATTTAATTAATTTTTATAATTAGTAATTGATTTTATAATACTAGAATTTTTACTATAACTGGTTATACTATAAATTATAAAAACTTTTAAAACTTTAATTTTAGTAATTATATAACTATTTATTATAATTATATATATATCTAGGCTTTTATATTATATATATAATAATATACTGAGAAAATATTATCTTAATTATATACTATTTCTTATATTTTATTAATATAAAATATAAATTTATTTCTATAATTTTAATATATTAATAGTAGTACCTAGTAAGATTAATTATTATAGATTTATCTTCATATATAATATAAAAAATATATATACCTAAAATATTACTACTAATAAAAATAAATATATTTATTCTATTAAATAAATATTTAGAAGATTATTTAAAGTAGTAATTTATAAATTTAAAACAGTAGTTATATTTTTTAATTTTAATAATATCTTTTTAAGAGGCTGAAGCTAATACTATT